ATGTGGGCAGGCTAGGCCAGGTCAGGCTGCAGCATGTGATGGCAAAGGCCAAGCCAGGGAATAATCTATGTTAGGCTGGGTTGGAGAAAACACTGACATACATAAAATCTGTGGCTAGGAGTGGGCCTGGTCGGGGAGCTAAGGGGATGCCCCTGCTGGGCTGCAGTTTCTACTGGTGAATGTGAGAACCAAAATTGGGGTGGTAAACAGGACTGGAAATGGCTGCAGCATCCCTCAGCATGGGTGTGAGTAGATCTGGGGTTTGTTTGACTGGCCTAGGCCCCAGCACCCTCTGGTGCTCACAGGAGCCAGAGTGGGTATAGGAGAGGCTGAACCACATAAGACCTGGGTCTGGAGGTGGACCAAGCATGGTTGCCTATAGCACCCAACAATAAGAGCTAGACTGGGGCCCGGAGTGGTAGCATAATGACTGAAGTCCTCCCCTTACATGCACCGGGATCCCAAATGGGTGCGGTTTCTTATCCCAGATGCTCCACTTCCCATCCAGCTCCCTGATTGTGGCCTGGGAAGGCAGTCAAGGACGTCCCAAAGCCCTAGAACTCTGCACCTGCATGGGAAACCCAGAAGAAGCTCCTGGCTCCTGGTTTTGAATTGACTCAGCTCCAGTAGTTGCAGCCATTGGGGAGTGAACCAGTGGATGAAAGATCTTTGTCTCTCCTCTCTGTAAAACTGACTTTCCAAAAAAATAAATAAATAAATAAACAAAATTAAAAAGAACCAAAATGGGTGTGGGCTAGTCAGGCAAGACCTCTGTACCTGCTGGGACAGCTGGTGGACCAAGTCAGACTGGGCCAAGCATCCACTGGTGTGTGCCGAGATCTGCCACTAGAAGGTGACCTGATAAAGAACTTGGGAACTCCTCTGTCAGGGCACAGTCCCTGCAGGTGAGTGCAAGAACCAAGCCTAGGAGTAGCCAGATCAGGTTAGCTTACAGTACCCACCGGCATACAGTACCTACCGGGAAAACATGTGGGTCAGGTCTGGGGTGTGGGCTGAGCTGGGTCAATCCATAGTACCCACTGGTAGACGCGAGAACCAGGCCAGGGTGCAGAACAGGCCAGGTTGGGCAGCAACACCAGCCAGCTCACATTAGGTTCGGACTATGGGCTGGCTAACTGGGCTACGATGCAGCACCCGCCAGAATGAGTTGGAATTGTGGGTAGGCTGGGTGGAGCAGGTTGCAGCACCCGCCAACAAATGCCAAGGTGAGGTGGGCCATGCCAGACTGTGCTACAGTACCCACCAGCACATGTGAGACTCTGGTGGTGTGGGGAAGCCCGATAGGAGGCTGCAGGGCCTACTCTGCTGGGCTACTGCTCTTGCTGGTGAGCATGAGAGCTGGCACGGGGGGCAGACCAGGCTGGGCAGAGCTATAAAACACTTTGATCTGCTGCATGTGAGCTGGTTTAGGGGGAAGAGCCCAGGCTGGGTTAACTGACCATATCTGCTGATGCATGAATGAGCCAGAGTAAGTAGTAAAAAGATGTGATGGATGGAAGATCCCTGGCAGAATACGCTGCAGGTGAGGAATGACTTCTGTGGGACTTCCATTGACAATGACTGTACTTGCAGGTAAGTGGGGGTGCTTAGACCAAGCATTTTGGAGGGGGGGGTCGCTGGAGGACATTTATGGATCAGATCGATGCACCAACCCATGTGGGAGACCTGAGCTGGGCTAGTTAGCATGGATCACCATCAACCACCGCCTACCAGCACACACTAAAGCTAGGGCTAGGGACCTACCTGGCAGAACTAGACCACAGTACCCTAAGAGAAAGTCAGAACAGGGGATAGGGTAGTGTTAGGCTGGTTGGTCTTTGCTATAGCACCAGCTGGCAAGCGCCAGGATGTGGGGGGTAAGGGGGCAAGTCCTGACAGGCTAGACCACAAAGCCACCTGGAAAGTGTAAGATCTGGGGCTGGAAGTAGGTTTAGTAGGGAAACTGGGGTCACCCCTCTGAAGGACAGCAGCTCCCATCATTGAACGTGAGAACCGAGGCGGGCCTGACTGTACAAGTGTGAATGCAGAGTATGTGGTAGGCAAGGTTAGGCTAGGCCACAGCATCCACTGGTTTGCGTATGAGATGGGGCTAGGCACAAAACTGACCAGGCAACTACAACCACCAGTGTGTATGTAGGCTGATATAGGTGATGGACTGAGCTGGACCCCACACTGGCTGGCACACACAGGAGTGTTTTGTGGTCACCTCTGGCAAGGTTTCTTTGGGGACACACACACACCCAACTGGACTGCTGGATTCAAAATTCCAACCACAGGGAAAATTACAGAATCTGTGGTCTGATCGTAGAGTACATGTACCAGAGCTGGGTCTCCTCTGTTGCTGAAGCCTGTGCAGTAGATGGCATGCTCAGATGCACATGGGGACATGACAACCAGTTCATTGAGGCCTGTAGAGGATGTCCAGGACCATGGCAGGGGATGGCAGGCAGAACAAATTGGCCAACTACCCCAGCCAATTTTTTTTTTTTTTAAAGATTTATTTTTATTATTTTTTCATTGGAAAGGCGGATATACAGAGAGAGGAGAGACAGAGAGGAAGATCTTCCGTCCGATGATTCACTCCCCAAGTGAGCGCAACGGGCCGATACTATGCCGATCCGAAGCCAGGAGCCTCTTCCGGGTCTCCCACGCGGGTGCAGGGTCCCAAAGCTTTGGGCCGTCCTCGACCGCTTTCCCAGGCCACAGGCAGGGAGCTGGAAGGGAAGCGGGGCTGCCGGGATTAGAACCGGCGCCCATATGGGATCCCGGGCGTGCAAGGCGAGGACCTTTAACCACTTGCGCCACCGCGCCGGGCCCACCCCAGCCAATTTTTGACAACAATTATCCAAGCGAGCGGAGACTAAGGTGGACTATGTTAGCCAACGGACCTTGGAAGGATTTCCTCAACCTTAGAACAAGTATCAAAACCAGTTGAGCAGAACCCTCAGAACCTGATCCACATTGGGGACCCTGAAATGACATTAAGTGGGCATCTCACATACCTGGGTACTGATGTGGTTGAGCTACTGGGAGTAACCCTCTCCTATTGCCCCCTGATCAGGGACCCTTCCCATCCTGATTGGTGGTCTATGTGGCTATGCATCCTTCTCAACTGTATAAACACCTATAGGGCCCAGCACAGTGGCGCAGTGGTTAAGGTCCTCACCTTGCATGCCCGGGATCCCATATGGCCACCGGTTCTAATCCCGGAGGCCCCGCTTCCCATCCAGCTCCCTGCCTGTGGCCCGGGAAAGCAGTTGAGGACGGCCCAAAGCTTTGGGACCCTGCACCCGTGTGGGAGACCCGGAAGAGGCTCCTGGCTTCGGATCGGCATAGCACCGGCTGTTGCACTCACTTAGGGAGTGAATCATCAGACGGAAGATCTTCCTCTCTGTCTCTCCTCTCTGTATATCCGCCTTTTCAATAAAACAAAATAAATCTTCAAAAAAAAACTATAAAAAAATCTTAAAAATTTATTTTGCTCCTAAGTCCACTAGGCAGGGGAGTCTCATTTTTTCCCCATTATTACTCTGATAAATCCCTTCTTACAGAAGCATGTTGTGACTAGACTTCTAAGAATATCTACAGTGTGGCGCATTGTAGCACAGCATGTGAAAACATCACCTCTGACGCTTTCACATGTACCCATATGGGATGCCAATAGGAAAGCAGTGGACGAGATGGCTCATGTGTTTGGGCACCCACCACTCACAAGTTCCCTACTCTTGGATAAGGTCTGGTCCAGTCCTGGTTGCTGTGGGTTTGGGGGCTGGGGGGGGGGGGGACAGTAAACAAGCAGACAGAAGATCTCTATCACCCTGTCTTTCAAATAAATCTTGGGAAAAAAAAAAAACCCTGAGCTTAAAAAAATTACGTTATATACTATAAACATTGTGGTTTCCTCTAGTTTTCAGCAAAGCTCATTATATCTATGGGAAATACATCAATCTTTATACAAGGATACTCCCAAAAAGCTCATGCAAAATGGATTTTGTTGGAAAAATTAGAAAAAAAAATTTACATTTTCCATAAACTTTTTGTATACTACTCACATGCATGGATTTCAATCTTTTTTTTTTTTCTTGCACCAAAATAAACTTGCCTTCTAACCTCAATTTTCATAAACTTTTAAGGTTGTCTTGTATATATGTGAAGATAACTGAAGTGTGTGCTTTTAAAAATTCATTATCTACCCTTCCAACATAAACCAACTTAGATGCTTTGACAGGCTAACAAAATATCTAAAAATGTCTGGGGACTGAAATTGTGGTGCAGTGAGTGAAGCCAGCACTTGGGATTCTCACATCCTATCTCAGAATACTGCTTTAAGTCCCAGGTCCTCTGCTTCCAATCCGGCTTCCTATCAGTGCGTTTGGAAGGTAGTGAATAACATCAAACACTTGGATTCCTGACACCCACTGGGAAACTAAGAAGCAGATCCAGGCTCCTAGATCCAGTCTGGCCCGACTTCGGCTCTTGTAGCTATTTCGGGAGTGAAGCAGTTGATACAAGCTCTTATTGTCTCTCAAATAAACAAACCCTTTAAAATATTCATTTTGTTTTAAAATGTAAACATATGCTATTGAGCATAGTAGTTTGAAGGAAGGCATTCTAACATGTTTTGTATTTAAGAGTGTGGGGTTTTTTGTTTGTTTGCTTATTTTTGCTTAACCTGGCTACCAAGGGAGAAGCATGTATAATATAGTATGTTGCTCTCCTAACATGGGCTAGGCCATATTCGCTAATCTGACAAGTTCAGGCCATTGCTGTTACACTCCAGAATATTCATGAAACCTTCTGTCAGGTACAGAGAGTAAAATCAGATTTATAGTCACTCAAAGACGAACAGTCAATTCTTGGTTAAGGACATTCCAGCCCCAGGTTCAGCTTAACAGGCGAGAGAACTTCACTTCAGGAAACAGAATAATTAGGAAGTGCCAGACAATTTTAAACACCTTTTAGAAGTCACAGATAATCACTGTAAGAACGAAATTTATTTACAAAACTTTTTACTTGAGCAGCAGTAACAGCCAAGAAACAATAAACAGTCAACTAAATCCTAACAGAAGCCAGTTCATAAACAACAAGAGCAGCTCCTGACTCTTGGGCTAGAGAGACGTCAGCGTATCTTTCAGTTGCACAAGGACATACATTTATAACCAAAGAGGTTTGCGCAAACAGCAAGTAGCATTTGGCTCAGCTGCTGTACCCTCTAGAGCACTACTCCCAAAATAACTATTCATCCTCTTTGATTTCTTTGTTGACTTCTTTCTCTTTTTCTCTTTCCTTGGCAGTTTCCCTTTCTCCTCCTTCTTCGGCAGCTCCTTCCTCTTTTTCTCCATCTCTGGCAGGTTCACCCTTTTTTCCTCCTTCTCCAGAAGTTTCTCCTCCCTCCTTTCCTCCATCTCCAGCAGCTCCTCCCTTCTCTTTTTCTCCATCTCCAGCAACTGCTCCTTGCTCTTTTTCCCCTCCATCGTTGGCTTCCTCTTCCTTTTTCTCAGCTTTCTTTTGTTCTCCTCCACCGACACCTTGCTCTCCTTCTTTGGGCTGAACACCGACATAAACCGCTTTGTTACAGCCTTCCCGGTTCCGAGCAATCTCAATGGCCAAAAACTGTATTCTGGGGGCTAGAAGGTGAACAGAGTCAATTATTGTCCTATTCTCAGTTAATCGCCTAAGTCTACTAGAGATCTATTGGCAAAGCTGCATAAACCATTTATGCATAAGCTTCAGAGGTTTTATTCTAATCTCATTAATGACATGGAAAATATTGAATTACCTTACAATAACTGAAGAAACAGCAATATGGCCTTTTCTATTATAGATGTTACATAGAATGATCCCCAACCCAACTACATGTCATTGGTTCATCAAAATGCACTTGCCACAATTCCAGAAACAACAAACTCACCAAAGATGGTATTTTCCTCAGTGTAACCCTGAGAACAATCTAGTCGCAGCAAAGTACCATAGTTGAAATCTTCCACAACCCCTTCAAACTTCAAGCAGAATGGTCTCCACTTCTATAAAGGGAAAAGCAAAGCAACGGCAGATAAACAGAAGAGGGTCAATGCAGTCAAGTCAGGAAAAGGGCTTCTTCTTCCCAATTAAAGGAAATTAGCCATAGTGGAAGAGACTGGAGTGCAGGCAGTTGCAGGTTTCACAATAAAACTAGCATTAAGTTCCTATGCTACATAGCACTATATCTTTATAAACTGGCATAGTCTGAAAAAAGCTAAATCGGGTTCAGTTCACATCCCAGCTACCACACTTCCCATCCAGCTCCCTGCTTGTGGCCTGGGAAAGCAGCAGACGACGGCCCAAAGCCTTGGGACCCTGCACCCACGTGGGAGTGCTTCGATCGACTAGGTGCGTCGTTCTTGGCTTCGATCAACTAGGCCCTGTTTCTCCCTCTATTTCCTTCTCTATAAATCTGCCTTTCCAATAAAATAAACAAGTATTTTTTTAAAAGATGCTGCTGGTTGGGATGTTTTCCCCCACCCCCAATATCAGAGTGCTGGTTTGAGTCCCAGCTACTCGGTTTCCTGTCCAGACCCATGCTGATGTGCTTGGGAAGCAGCAGATCAAGGATCAGGTACTTGAGGTCCAGATACCCAATGTGGGAGATCCAGATGGAGTGCCTGTTTCATGGCTTTCGTTTCGCCCAACCACAGCTGTTGGCGGCCATATGGGGAATGACTCAGCAAATGAAGGATTTCCCCGCCTCTCATTCAAAACAAAAATCTAAATCATTTATTAGAGTTAAAATAGAATTTCCCAAATAAATTATCTGTTGTGTTTTAAGGCCATTAGCCAATTCAGTCCAACAAGATTATTCATCTTCACCAAAGCACAAATGGGACAAAGGCTAAAGTTTGGCCCAAACACATAAAATTAGATTTGAAGAAAGAAGTCCATTTGGCACTGGCAGTTTTCCAAAAGATCAGTAGCAGCCTGCTAGGAGTTGTAAGTACAGATTCTTCAATAGCCAAGAATATACTTTCAAGGAAAAATTTTTCTTAAGTTTAAAAGCTTTGTTAAATTTAAATTTCAAGATAATCATGTAGGTAATGGAAACATAAGTTTAGCAGTAATCCATGGCCTGTGCTCTCCTGAGTTTAAAACTAGAAAACGAAACACCTCCCTGTACTCTATTTGGCAGCCCCCTTCCAGCTGTACTAGTTAAGTAAGTTTATTTAACTTTCTTTGAAAGGAGGAAGCAGGTGGGAATTTGAAATGCACAAGTCAAACAGCAGAAAAAGTAAACTCCGTAAGCATGAAAAAGTCACAAGCCAGAAAAACATTCATATCATAACTTTGTTGATTGTAACAAAAAAGCCCCAATTTTTTATTAAACCTATAAAAACATACTTCCATAAAAAATTGTTGGTCAAATGCTAGGTCATATTTCAGAGACAGAATTCTTACCTCTTTTGCCAATTCTGATTTAAGTTCTTCTGGGTCCAAAACATCTATCTTGAGTTTGTCAAAAATTTCTCGGAACTCAGAGTAGATTTGGTCATCCACTTTGGTAAGTTTCAGGAATTGTGGGTCAACCGATGAAATCAACTGCCAGACAGGAATACATATGGATAAGTTAGTATCTAACTTACTATACTTCAATTCCTGGCTACTTCTATCAGAAAACCCATAGAGCACCGAGGACAAAGGATTTCATTAGGAAATACTGACAGCTTAAACCTTGGAGAAAATCATGACATTTTAAACAGACATATCATAGTTCCTTCCATCAGTTTTGCAATTGGTCTATTTAACCCCCGTACTGCCTGGCTATTGCCCTCTGTGGATTGTTCACTCATTCAACAAACATTTACTAAATGCCTATTATGTAGGGCCCAGGCATCCTTTTAAAGGCAACAGAATGTGGGATAAAGAATCAGAAATTGCCATTATTAAAATGAATATGCATTCACACTACTTCTGAATGTAAGACCTTTAGTGATAAAAACAAAACTGTTTACCTTGTGGAAGATACTGACCAGCAGAGCACCAAATGTTCAATTCTGTTTAATGATGAACACAGACAACTCACCTTGTAATAAACTTCAGCATGCTGCATTGCTCTCATGGCCCAAGCCATCTCAATATCTGGCTGCAAAGGAGTGAAGAGTGTCAGGTCAGCAACCTCCCAGTGCTGAAGCTGGAGAGCAAATGGGTAGCCTGTGCATGTCTATTTAATGCTCAGAAGGGCTGTCACATGTGCTGTCACCGTCCAATGACAAAGCTGAACTAAAAGGTTTCAATAATATCGCAACTTTTATCCTTGTGATAGGCAAAGGAAGCTACCTACACAGTAGAAAGAATACAATAATCCACTCCCCATCCTTTCCCAGCAGCTAGTGAAAAAAGCGTGGGAAACTGCATAGGACAACAGATTAAACATTTTCTAAAGACTCAAGCTAAATCAGTGCAAAACTGAAATAATACAAAGTAGTTTTCAAAAAGTTTATGGAAAACTGAATTAAAAGGTAAATTTACTTTGGTGCAAGAAACTTTGAGAACTACGCAGAGAGGCTTCAGAAAGTTCATGGAAATGTATACTATGAAAAAAAAATCATGTGAGGCTGCCATGGTGACATAGCAGGCTAACCATCAGCATCCCACACGGTTACTGGTGTGTGTCTTGGCTTCTGCACTTCCAATCCCATTCTCTGCTGTGGCCTGGCAAAGCCGCAGATGACAGTCCAAAGACTGGGTACTCTGCACCTGCATGGGAGATCTGGAAGAATTTCCTGGCTCCATCATTGCAATCCTATGGGGAGTGAACCAGCAGATGGAAGACCTTCCTTCTCTATCTCTTCTTCTCCCTGTAAAATTTGCTTTTCTTTTTTTTTTTTTAAGATTTACTTTTATTGGAAAGTCAGATATACAGAGAGGAGGAGAGAGAGAGAGATCTTCCGTCTGATGATTCACTCCCCAAGTGACCACGATGGCCAGTACTGCGGCAATCCCAAGCCAGGAGCAAGAAGTTCTTCCAGGTCTCCCATGCATGTACAGGGTCCCAAAGCTTTGGGCCATCTTTGACTACTTTCCCAGGCCACAAGCAGGGAGCTGAATGGGAAGCAGGGCTGTTGGGATTAGAACCAGCTAACAACCAGTGCCCATATGGGATCCTCGTGCATTCAAGGCCAGGACTTTAACTGCTAGGTCACCATACCAGGCCAAAAAAGTTGTTAAATATTTTTTAAACCCATGTATGAATTTTAAAAATTTTTGCAGCATAATAAACATTTTCATCTTTTTTTTTTTCATTGGAAAGGCGGATATACAGAGAGGAGAGACAGAGAGGAAGATCTTCCGTCCAATGATTCACTCCCCAAGTGAGCACAACGGCCGGTGCTATGCCTATCTGAAGCCAGGAGCCTCTTCCGGGTCTCCCACGCGGGTGCAGGTTCCCAAAGCTTTGGGCTGTCCTCCACTGCTTTACCGGGCCACAGGCAGGGAGCTGGAAGGGAAGTGGGGCTGCCGGGATTAGAACCGGTGCCCATATGGGATCCCGGGCGTGCAAGGCGAGGACCTTTAACCACTTGCGCCACCGCGCCGGGCCCAGCATAATAAACATTTTAATTTCATTTTACCCCATCTTCTTTAAGTACAGATAATGGCAATTAAATTACTTTTCACTTTCCAGAGTATGGCACATGACAATCCTCATCTGTGTTTTAACAGATAATCAATTCCCCCCTGTGTAACTCCTAGAACGCAATCAGTGTCATGAAACAGACCATGTTATAAATAAGACATAGTAAATGCCCACCTCCTGTTCCACTCTATTCTCACATACTAAGTAACCAAAGCATTCCATGAACTCCTGAAAAAAAAATGTATTTTACCTTTGCACATCCATGCCTTAGACAATTCACTTTCCCTACCTACTAACGCATGTGCTTTGTCCACCTATACTCTAAGAATGCAGTTCTAAGTATTTTACTGCTTTGGTCCTTAGGGGTCTCTCCTGGACAGAACTCTACATCTTCAGACCTGACCCACTTACACAGTATGCATCACATTCTTATTTGTTCTGACGTCCCTCGGTTTAGTCTCTCAAAATACATCATGTACTTTCTCGTTAAGGGTCTAAACCAGACACACCAAAAGCAAACGTAACTTTACTGCACAAGAAAAGTCACCCAGGGACGTTTAGAAAACACTGATATTTGATCCCCATCCCCCAATCATTGTGGTTGTTAGCACACGCTGCTAAGAATCTGGACACTGGGAGGTTTAAAAACCTCCCACGTGATTATAAAGTGCTGCAAACTTAGGGAACGACTCGCAGAAATATCAGCGTTTCTGAATTAAAATTAGAATGAAGTGAAGAAAACGTGGTTTCAGGGCAGGAGGTAATAACTTCTGGTGACAGACACTACAAAGACTGCAGGTACTGAGAGGATGGGAGCTGTGGGTGAGTCATACTCACATCGTTGCCATAGGACTCTGCTGGGAGAGAAAGAGCGTGTGCCACGGACACCAGCTCCCCGGAAATCTGGGAAGAGGGAAAAATGGGAGGGCGGATGGAAAAAAAGAGTTCAAGGTTCGATTCAGTTTGACTTCCCCAAATTTCCCCAGTCACCCGACCCCAAACACCGGCTCACCGGCACATCGGCTCCACTAGTACCCTCCATGTTGGAGCCGAGAAAACGTGGCTTCACTTCCCCGGAAGTAATTTTTTTTTTCGCGCTCCTGGCGCCGTTGGTTGGAAACAGAAGCCAAATCTGCCAGCACCTCCGGCTGCGCCTGCGCACAACCTGTTTTGCCCGGAGGTAGTCGCTGACTCCGCCTCCACGAGCTCTTCGCGGAGGCGGGGGCGTGTTGTGGCGCCGCTAGAGTTGCGGAGGGCTCCTGAGCTGGTTGACTGTCGGTTTTGTGATGATCTTGGGAAAAGCTTGAGCTCGAACCATATGTCCCTGGCAGAATTTCGAATGCATTCTACATTCGTGTGCCTACAAGACAGGCTCCAGAACCCAAATCCGAGAGTAAATCACAAGAAAGTGGTGGAGTGCAGGAATGAAGAATTTAGTCGCTGCCCTGACGTAATTAGATACAGTGAAAGAACAGATAAAGTCGCAGTCATAACATAGCACCTGCTATGGGCGCATGTATGAATGGGGCATGTCAAATCTGAATCAGGAAAGGCACTTCAACCGTGCAGAAAGGGAAAGACACTACAGCAGAGGGAACCACAAATGCAAAGGTATTGATGAATTCAACACTATGACATCTACTGAAAATTGCAATATATATATATATAGATCCAAAGTCAGAATGCCATCAGCTATAATCCTTTGAGGGAGCAGGTAGCCTTTGTATGCCGAATCCCCCCACTTTTTTTTTTTTTTTAATCATCCAGAGGTATATCATGTATTTTTACTCCTATACCATGCCATAAATTCTTAGAGAATGGGTTCCAGCAGCTCAAGCTCCTTTCCAAATTGCTTCTGACAGGGTGGGCTTCTCTAAACGCAACAGGCTGGCGGTTCATTTGAACCCAGGGAGCTTGTTTCATGTTCTGATCATTTTCCTTCACACGTTTCCAGAAGCTCTCTCAGCTGTGAGGAGGTTTAATATGCTCAACACACATAGGCATTTTCTTGGCAAGAATTTTGCCTTTAACTTGTTTGTTTATGACAATGCCAACAGCATACTGGGTAACACTGCAGACTCTTCCAGCGTTGCCATGGTAACATCCATGGGGCATTCCTTTTTGAACAGCACGCATTACCTTGATGTCTGCAGTGTCACCATTCTTGTAGCTGCCCATGTATGTGACCAAAGGAACAACTCCATGCTTCCTAAAAGGCCAGGAGAGCGTGTATTAGGTGTTTTTCTTCTTTCCCCTTGTTTGTGTTCATCCTCTTAGCAAATTACTGCAAATAGTGGTTCTGGCCAAAAGGCTGTACACTGAATGTTAAAGAATCTGAAGTTTTCCCTAAAAGAAGTGCAGACTACTGAAGGCCTTTAAGGAGACCAGCCATACGATCAGATTTAAATTTTAAGATCACTCTAAACAGTGTTTAAGATTAATTTGAGGAAGAAATAACTGGAGGTAGACCAGATTGACAGCAGTGTGTGATGAGACAGTGACAGTTGGGAAAATTCTTGAAAATCAGTGAGACTTTGAGTTGACAAAACTTTTTGACTAATTGCATGCGGTAGGCAAATGAGAATCCTGATTCTAATAGTGCTCTTGGGTTTCAGAGTGGGGTTTCTGGATGAATCACTGAGCTAGGAAACATAGCAGGAAGGATGATGAGTTCAATCTGAGGAGCTGAGTTGGAAGAGCATATATTCAGAGAACCGATCATGCAGAGGGAGATCTGATCAGAGATGAACTTGATACTTCAGGTTTCCTTGAGTTCTCCTAAAGGAACTATCCAGAATGGTGGAGACAAAGAGCAGCAGACCCAGGACAGTACCATCTAGGAAGAAGAAACAACAAGGGGGAAAAAAAATCACAAACACAAAGCTTGACAAAAACTGAAAAAATAAAAAAAAGGAGGGAAAAGTTTTATGCAATCCTTAGGACAATGCATTCCACAGCAGAGTGCCTGCATTTGAGTTCCAGCTCCACTCCAGATTCAAACTTCCGGCTATGGTATACCTGGGAGGCATCAGATGATGAATCTAGTACTTGGGACCCTGTCATTCATGTGAGAGATTTGAATGGAATTCTGGCCTCCTGGTTTATGCCTGGCCCAATCTCTGCTATTGCAGTCATTTGAGGAGTGACCTAGAAGATGAAAGATCTCTGTCTTCGCATTTCAGGGTAGATGAAAATAAATAAACCTTAAAAGGAATTGTCAGTGGACATCAGCAAGAAATAAAGCAGAATTTCATAGAAGCCAAATAATAAAAGAAGTTCCAATGGAGAACTCTATAGTGAAAATAAGAAAACATTTATAAAAGAAATTGAAAAACAGAAAAAAATAGAAAGACCTTCCATTTTCGTGGATTGAAAGAATATTAAGACATTCATACAGATCAAATACAATCCCCACCAACTACATTCTTCGTACAACTAGAAAAAAATCCTAAAATTCTTGCAAAACACCAAAACTCCTGGATAGCTAAAGCTATCATGAACAAGAACAAAGTTGTAGCTGTCACAATCCCAAATTTGGAAATATACTATATAGCACTTTACAACTAAAATGACATGATTCTGGCATTAAAATCAGACCTATAGACTAATGGGACAGAATAGAAACTCCAGAAATAAATCCACACATTTGTAGCCAACTTATTTTTGATAAAGGAACTAGAGTCATATCTTAGAGAAGGGATAGTCTTGGAAAACTTAATATGCATATGCAAAATATTTTGAAGCAAGACACACATATTACTTACCTTGTACAAAAATCAGTTCAAAATAGATCAAATATAAAAATTAAGACAGGACCCAGCGCAGTGGCCTAGTGGCTAAAGTCCTTGCCTTGAATGCACCAGGATCCCATATGGGCGCTGGTTCTAATCCCGGAAGCCCCACTTTCCATCCAGCTCCCTGCTTGTGGCCTAGGAAAGCAGTTGAGGACGGCACCCAGGTGGAAGACCTGGAAAAGGCTCCTGGCTCCTGGCTTCAGATCAGTACAACTCCGGCCATTGTGGCAGCTTGGGGAGTGAACCATCAGATGGAAGATGTTCCTCTTTGTCTCCTCCTCTCTCTCTCTCTCTCTCTCATATATATATATATATACACATATATAATCTGACTTTATATCTGACTTTGCAATTAAAAAAATAAATCTTTAAAAAAATTAAGACAGGACATCATAATATTAAATTAGAAAAAATATAGGGAGAACACTTAAAGATATTGATATGGATGATATAGATTGATACTTTTTTTGGATTATAATCCAAAGCATAGGCCACAAAACCAAAAACAGACAAACTTTTTTACAGGAGTGGGCCTTGGACACAGCTTATGACAACCACATCCCATGTTAGAATTTCAATTTTAATCAAGGCTCCCCTTTTCTGACCCAATTTCTTGCTAAGGCATCCTGGGAAAGCAGCAGTAGATGGCGCTGTCACCCATGTAGGAAACCAATGGGGAGCTACTAGGCTCCTAGCTTTGAGCTGACCCAGTCTTAGCTGTTGGGGCATTTAGAGAGTGAATGCCTGGGACTGGACCAAGCTGAATCCAGGATCCTGATAGTCCATCCAGGTCTTCCACATGGATGGCAGGAGCCCAAATATTTGGGCCGTCTTCTGCTGCTTTCTCAGGTGCGTTAGCAGCGAGCTTGATCGGAAGTGAAGCATTTGTTACTTGACTCAGCATCCGTACAGGATGCCAGCATGACAAGTTGCCTTAACTTGCTACACAACAATGTCAGTCCCAGCTCCCATTCTTTATTAAAAAAAAAAAAAAAGGAAATTTCTATACCTCAAAGGAAACTACAGAGTGAAGAGACAACCAATGGACTTGGCTTAATATCCAGAAAAATGTATAAAGAATCCAAAAGGCTAAATAACAAGATATAAAACAATCTACTGAGCCCGGCGGCATGCCCTAGCGGCTTAAGTCCTCGCCTTGAACCCGCCGGGATCCCATATGGGCGCCGGTTCTAATCCCGGCAGCTCCACTTCCCATCCAGCTCCCTGCTTGTGGCCTGGGAAAGCAGTCGAGGACAGCCCAAAGCCTTGGGACCCTGCACCCGTGTGGGAGACCTGGAAGAGGTTCCTGGTTCCTGGCTTTAGATCAGCTGGTTCAACTTGGGCCATTGTGGTCACTTGGAGAATGAACCAGTGGACAGAAGATCTTTTACTGTGTTTCTCCTTCTCTCTGTAAATCTTTCCAACAAAAATAAGTAAATCTTTTTTTTAAAAAAAAAGAAGACCAAAAAAATACTGAGGATGTTGAGAAAGGGAGGGGATGCTTATACACTGTTAATGAGAATGCAAATAAATATAGCCATTATTGAGAATAGTATAGAGGCTCCTCGAAAAAAAAATGAAAAATAGAACACAATACGACCCAGCTACATTCCATTTGACCATATATCTAGAAAAACTGAAATCAGCCAATGGGACTTGTAGTTTCATGTCCATTGCAGCATTATTCACAGTAGCCAAGACAGGAAATCAGTCCAGGTGTCCATCAATGGACAAACGGATTTTTACATAGCATATTTTTTTCATTTTATTTTTTTTAAGATTTATTGATTTTTATTACAAAGTCAGATATACAGAGAGGAGGAGAGACAGAGAGAAGATCTTGTATCTGATGACTCACTCCCCAAGTGACTGCAATGGCCGGTACTGCGCCAATCCGAATCCAGGAGCCAGGAAATTCCTCTAGGTCTCCCACACAGGTGCAGAGTCCCAAGGCTTTGGGCCATCCTTGACTGCTCTCCCAGGCCCCAAGCAGGGAGCTGGATAGGAAGTGGAGCTGCCAGGATTAGAACCAGCGCCCATATGGGATTCTGGCGTGTTCAAGGCGAGGACTATTTAGCTGCTAGGCCACTGCGTCAGGCCCTACATGGCATATTTTTGCAATGGTATATTATTTACTCACAAAAGAAAATGAAATGGGGCCTAGCACAATGGCTTAATGGCTAAATCCTCACCTTGCAAGTGCTGGGATCCTATGTGAGCAGTAGTTCGTGTCCTGGCAGCTCCACTTCCCTTCCAGCTCCCCTTCTGTGGCCCGGGAAAGCAGTCAAGGACAGCCCAAAGCCTTGGGATCCTGCACCCATGTGGGAGACCTGGAAGACATTCCTGGCTCCTGGCTTTGGATAAACTCAGCTCCAGCCATTGCGAAGTATGCCAGAGGACCAAAAATATTTCTCTCTCTCCTTGTCTATCTCAAAAACAAACAAACAAACAAAAAACACCGTGCCTTTCCAATAAAAATAGATAAATCGGATATTTTCAAACATGTGGACGGAGCTGGAGATAATTATAGTAAGTAAAACTCCACAGGACAACAAATAACATATTGTTTCTTGCATGTGGACGTTAAATACACATACATATATACACATATTCTACGTGAATTACAAATGGTGACTACTACCGCTCAGGGAGGCTCCACCACAAGGGCGCGTGCAGCGGAGCTTGGGGTTGCGCCGCCTCAGCTCCCATGCTCCGAGCCCCTGGCGCCCCCTAGCGCTGCTGAGGAGCCACTGCCGTCCTTGGCTCGGAGAAGGCAGAGGAGCCTAGGAGGGAGGACGGGAGGACAGAATCACCAGGGGAATCATTTTGACATGTACAGACCTTGAGAAGGGACTATTTATTGTTGATTTTGAGAGTGAGATGATTTTATATCTGTTTCTCGTTGCCTGCGGTAGGCTAAATTTGTCTTGCGCATATGACTGGTTTTATTTCGCTCTCCTTTTTAACTGCTTTGTATGACTGAGCTGTGGATTGTTTGAGGAAAACTTCTGGCACCTTCTAGAACTGGAAGTCATATTTTATAGATTAAATTGTGATGACAAAATATCTCTGATTTTTTTATATGAGATTTCATATAGTTGGTGATGATTTTATTACAAGATCCGTGTATGATGTCATTTTTCATGAAAAATATTTTTGTGGAAACGAAAAACAATATTAATAGAAGCAATATATAAATATAACATGGAAGCAGCATTTTTATTGGACTCTGGAAAATTGACCAGGATTCAGTTGCTGTATGTGCTTGTTGAAGTATTTTAAGTATAAACCTGTTTATGAAGGCCATTCAGAACTCAGTAATTTGGGCATAATATTAAAAGATGCCCAGCCTACAGAATCTGAGAAGGACATTTATAATCAGCTAGATATGTGTTTTACACTCTGTTTTGATGAGCTCAACATGACAAATCCTGCCATACAGAATAATTTCAGCTACTATAGAAGAATACTGACTCACATGAGGATCAATGATGTTCCAGCAGGAGAAAATGAAGTGAATAACAAATTGGCAAACTGAACGTTTTTATTTTATGTGGCGGCAACCCCAATGCTGAAAGCCTTAAGTGATGCAGCAACAAAATTTGTCTCAGAGAACAACGACTTACCAACAGAAAATACCACAGATTGTCTAAGCGGCATAGCTAATGTGTGCAGAGTCATGCTGCAAACGCCAGAATACAGAAGCAAGCTTACACAGGAAGAGACAGTGCCGTCCTGCTTGAGAGTAATGGTGGGCGTCACCAGACTCTACAACCGCATGCATCCGCTAGGAGCATTTGCCAAAGCTTCCAAAATCAGCATGAAAGGTTGTATCGAAGTTCTTTTTGTTTTTTTTAAGATTTTTTTTTGTTTTAGGGGCCCAGCGCAATGGCGCAGTGGTTAAGGTCCTCACCTTGCACGCCTGGGATCCCATATGGGCACTGGTTCTAATCCCGGCAGCCCCGCTTCCCTTCCAGCTCCCTGCCTGTGGCCTGGGAAAGCAGTCGAGGACGGCCCAAAGCTTTGGGACCCTGCACCCGCGTGGGAGACCCGGAAGAGGCTCCTGGCTTCGGATCGGCATAGTATCGGCCCATTGTGCTCACTTGGGGAGTGAATCATCGGACGGAAGATCTTCCTCTCTGTCTCTCCTCTCTGTATATCCGCCTTTCCAATAAAAAAAATAATAAAAATCTTTAAAAAAAAATACTACATGTTAATCCAAAATCTGAAAATAGAATTTTAAAAGGAACCTGAATGTTTGCCTTCACACTCACACAGACTAACTTATTTTATTTTTATTGCAAAGTTAGATAGAGAGACAGAAGATATTCCATCCAATGCAACAAGTGACTGCAACAGCCAGTGCTGAGCCGATCCAAAGCCAGGAGCCAGGAACTTCTTCCAGGTCTCCCACGCGGGTGCAGGGTCCCAAGGCTTTGGGCCGTCCTCGACTGCTTTCCCAGGCCACAAGCAGGGAGCTGGATGGGAAGTGGAGCCGCTGGGATTAGAACTGGAGCTCTTATGGGATCCTGGGGCATTCAAGCTGAGGACTTTTTAGCTGCTAGGCCACCGCGCTGGGCTCAACACCAACTATTCTTGATGGGTTCAAAGCATCTGGCTACTCAAATAGAGAGGAATGGGTCAAAAACAAACATTAGCACATAAAATGGAGAACTGGTGGACTTAAAGAAGTGTACCAAGGAAAGATGTTTTGGTGTACGATAAGATAACTAGGAATGAAACCTACTAGGCTGATTTCTTTTGTTTTTTGGAGGTGCATTTGTTAGTTGTCTTTTAGCTTCCTTCCTGGAGAGGCGATATGTAATATCCTTGGGTAGTAACGTGGTCTATCACCGGTCCTGAGGTATCTATTATGCTAAGATTCCCAGAAGTGTGGAGAAGGTGAAAAGTATAATTGCCGGAAGACAAAGTCATGGAAGGTAGGAAGTTACCACACGTGAGGAATTGATCCAACAAGGGCTCTGCACCTGGGACCCAATGCCTCCCACAGGCCCTTGTAAATGATAAGACTTTGTCAATGGCAAGACAGTTGTAGGAATGCTGCTCTGTGCAAGTAGTGAAACCATATAGCGACTGATGTTGTGACACCTATGACACCAGGAAGCTACATGAGCAAGGACTGGCTGCACTTATGATCCAGTACCCTGTCAATGCACCTGAGAAAGCAGCAGATGATCCAGTTACTTGGGTCCCTGCCTCCACATGGCAGACCCAGATGGAGTTCCAGGTTTCTGGTTTCAGACTGGCCCAACTATAGTCATTGCAGTGCAGCCATTTGTGGAGTCAACCGGTAGATGCAAGCTCTCTCTCTCTCTCCATCCCTCTTTCTCTCTCACACACACACACGCACACATCTCCTTTCAAATAAATAAAATAAATCCTTTTTGTAAGTAGACAATCTTTTTAAAAAAGATGTATTTATTTTTATTGCAAAGTCAGATATATAGAGAGAGGAAGATCTTCAGTCCGATGATTCACTCCCTAAGTGACTGCAATGGCCGGTGCTGTGCCGATCCGAATCAGGAGCCAGGAGCTCTTCCAGGTCTCCCACACAGGTGCAGGGTCCCAAGGCTTTGGGCCGTCCTCAATTGCTTTCCTGGGCCACAGGCAGGGAGCTGGATGGGAAGCGGAGCTGCCGGGATTAGAACCAGCACCCATATGGGATTCCAGTGCATTCAGGACGAGGAGTTTAGCCGCTAGGCCACAGTGCCAAGCCCTAAAAAATAAAGTTTTTAAATAGCTGTGAAGAAAATAAGTAGGGCTATAATCAGAAATCATATAAGTCTACAATCAAAAATACAAAATCTGTATATAAAAGTGTTGGGTCTGACAGGTATGGTTCATGCCATGTATAAGGAATGACTCATTGCCATCATTTAAGGCTGTTTAACGTAAAACAAGGATGTTAAACAAGACATCTCACATGGTATGTTCTATGATTAGAAAGGAATAAAACTGGCATTGGGATGCTCTCTCAGATGGGGTATTGTCCCTGATTCCTTGTAGTAACAGAACCTCAAAATACATAAAACAAAAACTGGAAAAAATAACATAGCTAATCAAATCGATTAAAATATGGGATTTAAAGTATTTATTCACTTAACAGGCAAAGAAAGAAAAAGAATTTCCCTGTGCAGGTTCACTCTCCAAATGCTTACATTGGCTGGAGGCTAAAACTAGTAGCCAGGAATTTAATCCAGGTCTTTCATGTACGTGTGGCAGGGACCCAATTACTTGAACTATCCCCAATGCCTCTCACAGACTTGCATTAGTGGGAGGCTGAGGCAAGGAGCCACAGTGACGAACCTGCAGGAAACAGGCATCCTAACTAGCACCTTAATCACCAGGCCAATCACCGACCTCCAAAGGGAGATGCTTTAATACACGTTTTGCAATCTATAGAACAGATAACAACTTAATGATCATTTATACATTTTTAAGATTTAATCATTTGAAAGGCAGAGCGACATAAAGAGGCAGAGTGGAAGAGTTCTTCTAACTTCAATTCATTTTCCCAATGTCTTCAAACAGCCATGGCCGGGCCAGGCTGAAGCCAGGAGCCAGGAATTCCATTCAGGTCTCCCACATGGGTAGCAGAGGTTAAGTATTTGAGTCATTTTCCAGTGCCTTCTGAGGCACACTGGCAGGAAACTGGGTCAGAAGCAGAGCAACTGGGATTCAAACTGGCGCTCTGATACTAGGATGCTGACCCTACAAGCAGTTGTGTTTTGCCACAGCACCACTCCCTAGAAGTTTTAAACAATATGATGAACAAACTTTATTTAACATACATTGAAACTTGAACTCAATAATTACGTAATACACATTATTTCCAAGTGCCCATAGAGCAGTTATAACATTTACAGTGTAATATATAATAAAGTACATCACAAAAATATACTAGGCTAGAAGTCATCATGACAGGTATTAGGGTTTATTGGGGTCAGCCTGGTGATTCAACAGGCCAATCCACCTTGCAGCCCTGGCATCCCCATATGGGCACCAGTTCTAGTCACAACTGCTCCAGTTCCAAGCCTGCTTGCTGCTTGTATCCTGGGAAAGCAGCAGAGGATGGCTCAAAGCTTCGGGACCCTGCAACCCACGTGGGAGACTGGTCTTCTGGCTCAGCTCCAGCTGTTGAGGCCATTTGGGGAGAGAATCAGTGGATGGAAGATCTCTCTTTCTGTTAATTCTGCCTTTCAAATAAAAATAAATTTTTATTTTTGTGGTTTTTAAAATTATTATTGGAAAGGCAGATATACAGAGAAAAGGAGGCACAAAGAGAAATACCTTCTGTCCACTGGTTCACGCCCCAAGTGGCCCCAATGGCCAGAGCTGAGCTGATCCGAAGCTAGGAGCCAGGAGCCTCTTCTGGGTTTCCCATGCAGGTGAAGGTTCCCAAGGCTTTGGGCCATCCTCTACTACAAAGGCCACAAGTAGGGAGCTGTCTTGGAAGTGAAGCAGATGGACCATAAACCAGCACCCCTATGGGATTCCGGTGCTTGTAAGGGGAGGACTAGCCAATTGAGTCATTAGGCTGGGCTTCCCTCCACCCACCCACTTTTCATCCATAGAAGTTTTAGTGCTTCTAGGGCATACTGTAGTAATATAGTGCTGACCATGAACTCAGGTCTGCTGCTCATTTTTATCTGGTGAGCAAATTTTTTTCTCAGGAAGGAAAACTCAAGACATACCACTTAATATTCATAACTAGTGATAAGAGTTTGAATTCAAGATTTCCCCATTTATTCTTTTTGAACAAGGTCTCACTCAAAATACCTAAGGTGGGGATGACACGGTGATGTATAAGGTTAAGCCACTGTCTGCAACACTGGTATCCCACATGGGCACTGGTTGGCATCCTGGCTGCTCCACTTTTGCTCCATTCATCTGCTAATGCACCTGGGAAAGCAGCAGAGGATGGCCCAACTTCTTGGAGTGCTGTACTCAAGTGGAAAACTCAGAAAAAAATCCTGACTCCTGTCTTAATCCTGGCCCAGCCCTGGCTATTATGACCATCTGGGGGTGAACCAGCAGATGGCAGATCTCTCTTTGTAACTCTGCCTTTTGAATAAACAAAATAAATTTTTAAAAAATATATAACTTGGGGGCCCAGCGCGATGGCGCAAGTGGTTAAGGTCCTCGCCTTGCATGCCCGGGATCCCATATGGGCGCCGGTTCTAATCCCGGCAGCCCCACTTCCCATCTGGCCCCTAGCGTGGGAGACCTGGAAGAGGCTCCTGGCTTCGGACCGGCTGTTGTGCTCACTTGGGGAGTGAATCATCGGACGGAAGATCTTCCTCTGTCTCTCCTCTCTGTATATCCGCCTTTCCAATAAAAATAAAAAATAAATCTTAAAAATATATAACTTCTGGGTTTATTCTGAAATCAATGATGTGGTGTGAAGCATAACCTAACTTAGGATAGCTGCTCAACCTGGGAAGCTATATGCCATGATTTGAATGCTTTTTTCCTCTTTCAAATTCATGTTGAAATTTAATCCACAATGCAACAGTAATGGGAAGTGTGGGCTTTGGGAGGTGACTGAGGTGGAGGAGGCACCGTGAAACGGATTAGACACCCTTAAAAACAACAACAAAAAAAACCCCAGCACGCCATGCAGTGTTTCCCACTTCGGGTAATGCAGGGACAAGACACCATCTTGAAAGCAGTGATCAAGCCGGGAGCTTGATCTTGGACTTTCCAGTCTCCACAAATCAGACAAACCAATTTCTACTGTTTACAAATCACCTGGTCTGGCACTGCACACATGTACTCAGACACCATCCTTTTTATTTACCATTAGTAAATTTAGGGAAACAATGGGCTATTCTCCATTGGAGCTGAAGGCAAGAGCCCTCCATTGTCCTCAAAACCTGCTCATGACCCTAAAGTCTTTCAGGCTCCTTTCCCAGCAAAAAAAAAAAAAAAGAGGAGGAGGAGGAATTGGACGGGGAGGAGAAGAAGAAAAGGAAGGAAGGAAAATGCTGTCATTGTTATAGCAAAATGTGTTAGGCTGCAACATGTCAAGCAAACATCCCAACTCAGAAGTCCAACTTGAGTCCCAGCTACTTCATTTGTGATCCAACTTCCAACTAATGTGGTTGGGAAAGCAGCAAAAGATGGCCCAAGTGCTTGGGCCCCTGCCACCCACATGGGAGATAGAGTTCTTGGATCCTGGCTTTGGCCTGGCCCAACCCTGGCCATTGCTGCCACTTGGGAAATGAACCAGTAGATGGAAGATTCTCTCTGTGTCTCTCGTTCTGCTTTTCAAATGGCTACATAAATAAATCTTTTAAAAATGGTGGCACACTGAAGGCAACAACATTGGTGGTAAGCATTTTGTATAGTAGATAAAACACTACTTGATACCCACATCCCGTATCAGAGTGCATGGCTTGGAGTCCTGGCTCTGCTCCTCATTCCAACTTCCTGCTAATGTGTCGCATGTGAGGCATCAGGTGATGGCTCAAGTAGTTGAGTCCTTATCAGCCATATGGAAGACCTGGACTGAGTTTCCAGCTCCTGGCTTATTCTGGTACAGGCCTAATGAGGGCTTCTGGGAAGTGAATCAGTGGATCAGAGATTCCTCAGTATGTCTGTCTTTCAAGTAAATAAAACATTAACAAATAAAAAGTGAAAGCAACAATTTCTTATAAGTGAAGGGACCTGGAATGTGAGATGGGCCCCCTTAATAGAATTAACAGATAACATCCAGTATTTCTGGGGAAAAGGGGAACCAAGTAGGCTCCTCAAGCACATGCATAGTTAGGGAACAACTAGGAAGGTGCTTACTGTGGCAACACTTCTGAGTAGGGTTTGGGGAGTTTGCTTAGAAGATTTTACACTTAAACAGGCAAGATAAGCCAGTGAGTCTGGGGAAAAGGTATTTGTGGCTATCACAAAGGGATTTCATGTTCATACCCTTTCACATTTCGTTTCTGTTGTCTTTAGCATGCTAGAGCACTGTCACAATCAGTAACGGTCTGATGAGTAGACCGGGCCATACGCAGAGACGTCAGATTGATAACAGAGGATTCATGATCAGGCTGCATGTTATGTCATCCTAACTAAAATACATTCTGATTTTGAGTGAAGGGAGCAAGGTTTCCTTTTCCTTTATAAAAAACATCTTGGAGTATTATAAGCACTTCTCTTTTGTATCCCACCTTCAAGACAGTACCATCTCTTTACTGTTGGGGTTTTAAATTCCATATGATTTATATTGTATCTCCTACATTTCTCTTTTTTCGACCATAAGCCTTTTCTTTAGAGAGGAAAATTTTTTGCAGCAAGTAACAAGTGTTGTCATTTAAGGCGAGGAAAACAAACTAAGAGGAACTAATCACCATCCTACACACAGATGCTAAGATGACAATTCAAAGTTGGCTAACTAATCCTAAGAAAATATCTGTTTACAATTTAAGCAGTATTTTTATGTAAAGGGTACTAAATAAATCCACTATTACAAATATCAACTTCCTATATGGTCTTCTATATGTATACAACATGAAATGGTAAGTACATGGAGAATATTTTTTTAAAGATTTTTTATTGGAAAGGCAGATACATAGAGGAGACAGAATAGAAGATCTTCCATCCACTGATTCACTCCCCAAGTAGCCACAACAGCTGGAGCTGAGCCAATTTGAAGGCAGGAGCCAGAGTCTCTTTCCAGGACTCCCATGCAGCTACAGGGTCCCAAGGCTTTGGGCCGTCCTCAACTGCTTTCCCAGGGCACAAGCAGGGAACTGGATGGGAAGCAGTGCTGCTGGGATTAGAACCAGTGCCCATATGGGATCATAGCGCGTGCAAGGTGAGGACTTTAACTGCCAGGCTACCACGCCGGGCCCTGTGTGAAAAATATTAAAAAACAAAACAAGTTTCTTAGGCCTGGCGCAAAAGCCTAGTGGCTAAAGTCCTCACCTTGCATGTGCTGGCATCCTATGTGGATGCCAGTTCGTGTCCTGGCTGCTCCACTTCCCATCCAGCTCCCTGCTTGTGCCCTGGGAAAGCAGTAGAGAATGGCCCAAAATCTTGGGACGCCCCTCTCCTACATGGAAGACCTGGAAGAAGCTCCTAGCTCCTGGCTTCAGATCAGCTGCAGCCATTGTGACCACTTGGGGAGTGAACCAGCAGATGAAAGTTTTTTCTGAATCTCCTTCTCTCTGTATATCTGCCTTTTTCTTTTTTATAAAGATTTACTTTTATTGGAAAATCAGATATACAGAGAGGAAGATCTGATGATTCACTCCCCAAATGACCACAATGGCAGAAGCTGTGCTGATCCAAAGCCTTGAGCCAGGAACTTCTTCTAAGTCTCCTACGCAGGTGCAGGATCCCAAGGCTTTGGGCCATCCTGGACTGCTTTCCCAGGCTACAAGCAGGGAGCTGGATGGGAAGTGGAGTTGCCGGCATTAGAACTGGCGCCCATATGGGATCTCGGTGTGTTCAAGGTAAGGACTTTGGCTGCTAGGCCACCGTGTGGGCCCCCCCCCTTTTTTAAAGATTTGTGCACTTGAAAGGCAGTTACAAAGAAAGCAAGATCTTTCATCAGCTGATTCACTGTCCAAGTGGCAGCAGCAGCCAAGGTTGGGCTAAGCCGTGTCCAGGAGCCTGGAGCTCTATCCTCGTCTCACAGGTGGGTGGCAGGGGCGCAAGGAGCTGTAACTTAGCTGATTCAAAGCCAGAAGTCTCTTCTGGGTCCCCCCATGAGTACAGAGTCCCAAGGACTTGGCCCATCCTCTGCTGCTTTCCTAAGCCATAAGCAGAGAACCAGATCAGAAATGAAGCAGCTAGGGTTGGTGCCCACATGGGATGCCAGCACTGCAGGCAAAGGATTAGTATGTAAGCCTCTGTGCCAACCGTAGCATGCTTGACTCCTGCTGCAGGAATATCTTAGGTAAAGGCTGGAGGTTGGAAGCTTCTGTCAAATTCACATGACAATCATGGCAGCTGTCACCTTTGACTTGGTATCACCCATGGGTTAAGGGGTGGCGATAACCATTGTGGTAACTGCTGAGTATGGATCCAAGGACTTCAGGTTTCCCTACACCAGTTTCTGTTACATTGTTATACACAGATACAGACCTGTGAATCAGACAGGTTTTAAAAATTTTATTTTTGATGTTTACATAGTTGAGAAGGATGTATGCCCATGGGGATCACTAATTACAGTGAGGAGGGCTGGGGTATGGTAGAAATTGGATGAGACAGTTGCTTCAATTTTTTTCTTTTTGTATATGGGGGAAGAGAAGGGGAGAGGACTGTTTCCAGCAGCCTAACCACATCAGTACCCAGGGATTGGGGACGGAAACTTGATGTCATTCTGGGGTCCCCGATGTGGAGCTTGTTCCAAACCACTCAAGCGGTTTGGATAGTCCTGACATTTTGTTGATTTCATTGCTCCAAGGATGACAAAATCCTTCCAAAATCCATTGGCTGATTTAGTCCACCTTACCATTTTCACTCGCCCAGATACATGCTGTTAAAGCTTGGCTGCGGAAGTTGTTCAATTTGTTCTGCCCTCCATTCTCTGCCATGGTCCTAGACATGCTCTGCAGTCCTCAATAAGGGGATCTGTCATGCCCCCATGTGTATCTGGGCATGTTGTCCAAAGCACACACTTCAACAACTGAGAAAGTTCTGACACACACACTCCACAGTCTGACCCCAGATCCTGTGATTTTCTGATTTTCCCTATGATGGGAATTTTGAATCCACTAGTCTAGTTGCAGGAAAGGGGGATGTTGTCTTCAAAGAAACTTCACCAGAGATTGGTCCAGTCCATCATGCATCCCATTCGGCTCTTACACGTACCAGTGGGTGCTGCAGCTTAGCCCCATATCCAGCCCATACTAATGTCAGCAGATGCTACTGCCTGTCAAGGCAGGGTCACACCTAGCCCTGGTTCTCATGCTCACAGGTGGGAGCTATAACCCATCACAGGGGTGCCCACATTTCTCCCTCCAGGCCCACTTTGAGCCCCAGATCTTGCACTTTCCAGGTGGTGCCACAGTCCAGCTTGGCAAAACCTGACCCTAGTCCCAGAACTTGCCAGCTGATACTGCGGCAAAGTCTGACCACCCTGTACTTATGCTGGCTCATGTGTGCACTAGTAGTTCCTAAGCCCAGCCTGGCTCTCCCCCTAATCCAGCTCACATCCAGCCCAACAGGTTTTTTAGCCCTGCCCAGCTTTGACCCAGCACAGCAAAGCCCAGCTACTAGCTTGGCCTTCGCCATAAGGTGCTGCAGTCTGGCCGGCCTGGTCTACTCCCAGTCCCAACTTTCACTGTTAGATGCTGCAGCCTAGTCCTACCCAGCCTGCCCACATTCCTGGCTTTCATGCAAACTTGGTGGGTGTGATGGCCCAGCCCAGCATGGCCTATACTCCATCCTGGCTCCTGCACATGCCAGGATTTGACTTGGTCCTGCCCAGTCATCACCCCAGAGGCAACACACACACCTGCCAGCAAGTGGAGCAGCCTTGCTCAAACTGACCAACACCCAGCCCTGACTCACATGCTCACCAGTAGGAGCTGCAGCCCGCTGGGGGAGTACCCCAAATTCCCCTACCAGGCCCATTCCCAGACCCAAATTTCACACATGCCACAAGGTGCTAGGCTCTTACCCAGCATAGTCTGCCTCCCAATCTTGGTCCTTATGTGAACTGGTGGATGCTGTGCTTCAGTCAGCCCAACACCAATTCTTGGGTGCACCCACAGATGCTACAGCCTGAATAAGCCAGGCTTGTCCCTAACCCCAGAATCCATGAATGTTAAGTTCTATGGTTATGCCTAGCTCAGCCTGTTACTACCCCAGCCTTTGGGAAAACCAGTAGATACTGCAATCCTACAGGGGTGAGCTGACATATCCCCTACAGAATCTGCTCCCAGACATGATCCTCTTACATGCTAGTTAGTGTCATATCCCAGGCTAATGTGTCCCATCCCGTTCCAACACTCACTGGTGGGTACTGTGGCCTAGCCCTGACAGAAAGGCCTCCCAGCTATGGCTTTCACGTGCTCTGGTGGGTGGGGCTCCATGCTAACTAATCCAGCTCAGGTCTCCGGTGTGGGTGGGTGGGTCAGACCCAAAAAGGACTTCCAGCTTCTTCCTTGAAACTGCTAAGTCTCAGCCCCCTTGCTTACCTGCAAGTACAGTGGTCTTGTTGATGGAAGACCCCCAGAAGTCATTCCTCACATGCAATGTTTCTCTAGGAGCAGCTCCATGGTGTCAGCAGCATTGTGCTCATCTGACCCCAGGCCAGTCAGCCGCACTGATTAACTGCTAGGAGTCATTTAAGCTGTGCCAAGTAACACGTGCTGCACCATCACTTTGTGCTTATTTGATAGTTATGAGGGAGGGGCGCACAAACAAATCGAGAAACATCTTCCATCGGCTGGTTCACTTTCTAAATGATCACAGCTGGTGTGAAGCCAGCAGCCAGTAGCTTCTTCTGGGTCTCTCCCGAGGGGGCGGAATCCCAAGGACGGACTTGGGTCTTCTGCTTTCTCAGACCTGTGAACAGGGAGTTGGATTAGATATGGAGCAATCTGGACTTGAACTGGCGCCTATATGGGATGCTGAGTTGTAGACAGAATCTTTCCCAGCTCCACAACAGCACTGGCTCCAGCTTCATCACTCTACTTATTTTTTTTTTAAATTTTATTGGAAAGTCATTTACAGAGTGAAGGAGAGACAGAAAGATCTTCCATCCGATGATTCACTGCACTAGTGGCCGCAACAGCCAGAGCTGAGCTGATCCGAGGCCAGGAGCTTCTTCCAGATCTCTCAAACAGGTGCAGGGTCCCAAGGCTTTGGGCAATCCTCAACTGCCTTCCCAGGTCACAATCAGGGAGCTGGAAGGGAAATGGAGCAGCTGGGATAAAAACCAGAGCCTATATGGGATCCTGGGAGTGAAGGGGAGGACTTTAGCCACCAGGCTGGGCTCAGTTCCATCGCTTTTTTGCAAACTATTTTTCCTCTCCGCTCTCACTGGATTCATATTTAATCACAAGGGAGTTGGGCCAGTAGAGAGAAACCTCAATAAGAAATAGTATTATCTTGGGATTAGTGCAACGGCTCAAGTAACTATTCCTCTTCCTACATCAGCTGACATGTGTGTGCTGACCTTGGGAAGCAGTTGAGGCTGGTTCAAAGCCTTGAAGCCCTGCACTTGCATGGGAGACCTGGAGGAGGTTCCTGGCTCCTGGCTTCCAATTGGTTCATTTCCAGCCATTTAGGGCATAAACCTATAGATGGCAAGTCTTTCTCTCTGTCTTGCCTTCTCTCTGTAAATCTTTCCTATAGAAATAAATTTAGGAAACGAAAAGAATGTCCTCATCCAGTATAGTTTAGTCCCTAAATCATCCAGTTCAGATGGAAAATAGTATTTTACTGTAATTAATTATACTGATTAACTTTTATATTAGGCATTTTCCCCCAAGAAATATGAGGTATGTACAAGGAGAAAGGAAAGCATTTTGGTTGGCCACCACAAATTACAAGGCTAAAAATACAGGCAAGGGACACCATTTAACTATATCCTAATAGGAAACATACATGATGGTTCCTACAGTAAAAGTAATTTTGGGAAAGCAAGTACTTCAAGCGATTCCACTTGCTTGTTGGTTGTGATTATATTGTAGGTAACTTCTCATTTACTGTAAAAACTGTCCCGCCTTCTTTCCAAGTTTCCTCACATCACGATGTTGTCCAAGAGCAAGATCTGGAAGGGCTGGAAATAGTGGTGAGAAAAAATGTAGTACACTGGTGTCATACTATTCCCTGAGATAAAAGCAAGTTTGAGAAACTTCCTGAGCCTTGATCCTCAACTGGCAGGAAATAACTCACGGATCTGCCTGCAGGTGTTTACCCACAGCTCCAAAATGATATAAACCTTGGGCACAGCGGCGTGGCCGAGCGGCTAAAGTCCTCACCTTGAATGCACCAGGATCCCATATGGACGCCAGTTCTAATCCCGGCAGCTCCACTTCCCATCCAGCTCCCTGCTTGTGGCCCGGGAAAGCAGTCGAGGATGGCCTAAAGCCTTGAGACCCTGCACCTGCGTGGGAGACGTGGAAGAGACTCCTGGCATCCTGGAGTGAATCAACAGACGCAAGATCTTCCTGCGATTCCTCTTTGTATATCCGACTTTTCAATAAAAATAAAATCTTAAAAAAAACAAAAAAAGAGGGATCCTGATCAGATGACTGATTCAAACAAAAAACAATATACCATAGGATCTACCATATGTGGATCTGTCTAACTGCCAGAACTCGCAGAGATGGACACCTAACTGCTCACAGGGAGCTATTATACTACTTTACGCAGATAATGAGAATTTCGGGAAAAAAACACAAAGCTAGTAAAATTGTTTCTCATTCTTCAATGGGACAGAAAATACATAAATCAAGCCAGATGCCATCAATTATATGTTCGAACTCATTCTGTAGATTTAGGGAGCACAAAAAAAAAAAAAAAAAAAAAAGACAAGCACCATGAAGAAAAATTGGGGAAGAGACAAACACTAAAAACAATGACAATCAAACTAGCTTTTGGAGAGGTAACATTCTGGTTGCAACAGACAGGCAAAGAAGTGAAGAAGCAAGTGTATTCAAGGACTGCACCCAAAAGCAAGAAAAATGGCTACTGTGCATTGAGGTAGGAGGGAGAGGTATGGGGCGGGCAACCAAGAGGAGTAGCGGGGACTCAGCAGCATGCACACCCAAGGGTCAATGAACACGACAAAACACTGGGTATAGGAATAGAACAAAGGCTGTACATCAACAGTCTGAGGCTACAGAGCTGATCATGGAGAATGGCCAAAAGACAGTGAGGCACGGACACAGCCTGGGACCAATCCGCACACTCGGGGAACGGGCCAGGCCTGGAACAGAGCGCTAGGGGCAGGCAAGCAGCCAGCTGTCAGATTCTACATCAGCTCCCACAGGAGCTCACACAGACCGTCCTGACACAGAAAGCAGCACTGGCACAGCGGCACAGTGGGTAAAGACGCCAGCCACACGGCCAGCATCCCACGTGGGTGCCAGTCTGAACTCCGGCTGCTCCAGTTCCTATGTGGTCGCTGCTGCTGAACCTGGAAAAACAGTGGACAATGGCCCAAATGCGTGGGCCCTGGGACCCGTGTGGGAGACCCAGAAGCTTCTGGCGCCCACTGTCAGCCGGCCTATGGCAGCCATCTGGGGAGTGAAGGAACACATGGAAGACCTCTCCCTCAGCCTTTCCTTGCCTCTCTCTCTCTCTCTGAAACTCTGCCTTTCAAATCCGTCCATCAATCCTTTTTAAAACGACACAGGGCCCAGTGACAGATGACCCTCAGGCCCACAGCATCAACCACTGGGAGAGCAGCTCCACGCTGCTCCCTGCCACCCGGATTGCAGCAGGTGCAGGTTTCGGGGCAGACACCACAGCCCCCCGCGGGACTTCCGCACTTGGGGAGGTGCCTGGGCAAGGAATGTCCAAGGCAGGACACCAGCCAAGAGGCAGGAGGGGAGGAGGCCTGCGTGGAAGCCTGAGAGGACAGCCAGGAGGGTCTGGCTGCCCACAACAGCAGACCCGGGTACTTCACTCTGGCAGAGGTGCCGTTCTGGCCGCACCACCCACGCACAAGGCTGAGGCTCTGCCAGCCTCATGGCCTCAGAGCGGGCACAGGGGTGCTACCCCTGCAGACGGCGGCACCCACAGGTCCCAGGCAGGAAATGCATTACCTGAGTGCCTGCGGACGCCCAGGGTTGCTGAAGACACACGGCCAAGTGGAAGGCACGCCTCCACGCAGCAGACCATCCACCTGGCCTTGTGGCTCCTGCCAAACTCCACCTTGACCGCTGCAGACAGAGCCAGGGTGCCCACTGAGCAATCTTCACTCAGTGCCAGAGCCACAGAGACCGCCCAGAAGAGTCACTCCCAGAACGGGAAATCAGAGAACAACCCTCCCCCTGCCTGCCCCTTCCGGAGGGGCAGAGCCAGTGGGGACCGGCTTCAGGACAAGCACCAAAACCCCGCAGGCCTGGATGGCTCGGCACGCACCACTGTAGGGCACAAACTACTGCAAGGGACGGTACTGCTGCCACACAGCCTCTGCTCCGCACCCCGCGTGCTGCTCCCCACGGCCCCGCACAGCCAGCAGAGGAAGTGGCGGCCGCTGCAGCCAGCCCGGACACTCAGGCCTTCCTCACCCTGCAGGGTCTCCTTCCACGCTGCGGCACACAGGGCATCTCGCTGAGCACCGGGAGCGTGTCTACACCCCACGCGCGCACACGGGGCGCCTCTGCCTTCCACTGGGGGCCTGCCTCCCCGCTGCTGACCCACGCCTTCTCTCCCCGCACATCACTCTCGCACGCGGGAAGAACTACCAGGGCTGAAGCACACGCACAGGGTCCTTTAAGACAAACTCACACAGCGAAGCACAAGGCCGCAGGTGAGCCCATCTGATCCGCTCCGCGCTCCTTCCAGCCTCCAGCACAAGTGGCCGTCTCCCCGCAACCCCTGCCGGGCGTCCCCATGTCACTGCAGACCACGGGCACAGGCCTTCACAGCCTCCCTGGAAAACAAAGCCAGGAAAATCACACACACACCTGCAACTTGTCACCCCAAAACCAACTCGACCTCCACGTCGATGTTGCCATGAGCTTCCAGAAGGCGCTTCCTGGGCCCCCCAAGCCCCGCGAGCCCCCCAAGCCAGTCCCAAGCCTCTCCCTCCCCACCTCACTCTGGCTGCGTCCACTCCGTCGGCCTCAGATCCGGGGTGCGCAGAGCAGCTGCTCCAGCACCTTCCGAGCCGCGTGGAGGCTCAAGGCCTGGATCTCGGCGCCATGGCCCTCCCCGCTGCAGGCCTAGCTGCCGCATCTCCCTTCACCGCGCACACCCCACTCCTACAAAACAACCACAGCTCCTGACAGCTCCACAGCTTCTCCCCTCCCACCCAGACCCGGGCCGACCCGCGATCCCAACGCTACCACAACATGCACCCACCATGCAACACGCACCCACCACGCTACACGCACCCACCAAGCACCACACGCACCCACCACACCACACGCACCCACCACACAATACGCACCCACATCACACGCACCCACCACACTACACTCACCCACCACACAACACGCACCCAGCACACTACACGCACCCAGCACACTACACGCACCCACCACACAACACGCACCCGCCACACAACACGCACCCGCCACACTACACGCACCCACATCACACGCACCCACCACACTACACGCACCCACCACTACACCCACCACACTACACCACACGCACCCACCACACTACACGCACCCACCACACTACACACACCCACCACACTACACGCACCCACCACACCACACGCACCCACCACGCAACACGCACCCACCAAGCACCACACGCACCCACATCACACGCACCCACCAAGCACCACACGCACCCACCACGCTACACGCACCCACCACAACACACACCCACCACACTACACGTACCCACCACACTACACGTACCCACCAAGCAACACGCACCCACCACACAACACACACCCACCACACTACACACACACCACACAACACACACCCACCACACCACACGCACCCACTCGCTCCCTCTCCGATGCCGCTCATTCATCACAGGCTCATCCTCACTCCCACCTTCACTGCAAGCCAAGGGACTCCTCAGGACACCGCAGTCCTGCTCACTGGGCCCGGGACACACAGCACGATGGGGGCTCATGCCCAGCTCCCGGGAAGGAAGATGGCACCGGCTTTCCGCACACACACACACCACGGGAACAGGCGCTTCGGCCACACCCTCCTTCACCACGGGGTCCTCGGGAAGGGAGGCCACAGGGAAGGCACCCCATTCAGAGGAGGACGAGCGGCCTCCCTCCACACCCTGGCCACGCACTCCTTGGGGTGGCCGCCCGACAGCTCGCCCCTTTTCCCAAAGGCTCCCGGCCCCGCATCTTCCAACCACGCCGAGCAGCAGCAACTTGGCGCCAAAGCCTTTGAAGGCGGACGTGACGCGCCCGCTCGGCGACCGGACGCCGCTCCTGGGCATGCGCGCCGCGACCCCGCCGGCCCGCCTCTGCTGCCCACCAGGGCCTCGCCCACCAGGGCCCGCCCACCAGGGCCCGCCCACCAGGGCCCCGCCCATCGGGCCCCGCCCGCCAGAGCCCCGCCCGCCGGGCCCCGCCCACCAGGGCCGGCTCCCGCCTCTGCGCCGTCACTGCGCCTGCGGGCCCGCCACCCAGTCCAGCGCAACAAAGCGCCCCCAAATCCGCCTGCGGGCCCTGCGCCCACAGTAGCGGCCGCCATTGCCGACGCAGCCCACAAACGCGGCCACACTCCCCATCAGCCACCGCACGCACGCCCCCGGAAGCGACGCACCGCGACTGGCAGGAACGGCCCGCCGCTGTTGCTATGGCTCCGGGGGCGGGGCCTCGGCCGCCCGCTGAGCTCACAATCGCCGTTCCCCTTCCGGGTAGCCCCGCGGGCTTCCGGGTGGGCTCCCTGGTGGGCTTCCGGGTGGGCTCCCTGCGCGGCCCCCGCGGCTCTCGGCTGGCCCTTGGTCCTGCCCGAGCCCCGCGGAGGGTGGACCTGGGCGGCCTCAGCCGAAACGGGCGCCCTGCGGCCGGCCGCTCACCACCCTTGTCCTCGCCCGGTGAAACTTTGGCCACGCGGGGGCAGTGTGGGACCGCAGATGCCCGCCGCTCCGCTCGGCCTCCGCCCCTCGCGTTTGAAAAAAACCTCCCGAGACTCAAAAACACACGCAGAGTCAGAAGGCTTAAACAGGCGCTGCTTTTAAACTGCTGCTGCAGGCTGCGAGCGAGAGCACACCGGACACGTCTAAGGTTTATTAAGGAGTCTTTATTAACCAAGCTTGGTGATAACACAGCATGATAGCAAATCACAAGTCCGTGCGGCAATCCAACGAATCGTAATCCAATGAATCGTAATTCCCGAAGGAACAAATGCTCATTACGCTCAAGTCCATCCGTTAAGCTGAAGACCTATGTCCCAGCTCCCCCAACAACGTGAGTTATCCTAAGAGACATGCAGAGAACAACACGAACACACTTACAAAGAGGTGAGCATTGAGGTGAGCTTCACTTTTTGTGAGCTTCCAGTAAGGAATACAGCACTTACAGATTTAATGAAAAAATAAAAACAATAAACAGTTGCATATACTAAGCCCACCTGGCAGCAGAGCTAGAGAAACCGGACAAGTGAGAAAGTTCACAGGTTCTTGTCTTAAATTCACTTTCACTATACACTTGTAGCTCATCAGACGAGCTGAACTCACAAGCACAGGTACTAACTGCAGAAGGAGGCAGAGAAGATTGCATGACCCTTGCTCTGGCAGGACAAATTCCTGAAGCCTTCCATTGTGCAGTAGGCAGTTTAAGGTCAGGAGCTTGGAAGCCACTGGCCCACCACTTAGGTGTGGTGGCATTGCACTGTGGTGTAACCACTCCCCTCTCCAGCCCCAGAAAGGCTCCTGAGAGGGGGCGGCTTGCTCTCCTGGTCCTTCTTCTGTCGTTGTGGCACTGTGACTCTTGGGCTCCCAAGTGCCCGCTTGCTCTCTGGCTTCCTGTGGACAGACTCCGAGGACAGGTAGCCCTTTGCATGGCCCCTTTGTGTCTGTGTTCCTCATCTCATGTTCCATGCTTGGGCAGGACAGTGAAGCTGTTCATGCTAAGATGCTTTGTATTTTCAATGTGTGTACCTTTGAGAGTTCCAGGAGAGGTGAGGCCTAGCAGTGATGGAATGTGGGCAGAGCAGCCAGGGAAAGGTGAATGTCTGCAGCTTTGTAAGTGTGCCCAGGTCGTTTGCTGTGTGTCCCTTAGGACAACTTGTACAGCTGGGACATGGGTCTTCAGCTTAAGGGATGGGATTCAGGGTAATGACCAGGTTAATGACCTTTTTTTATTTTCCCCATTCAGCCTGGATTGCCATATGGACTTGTGCTTGGCTATTTCTAGTGTGCTCTGTTATCACAAAGCTTGGTTAATAAAGACTCCTTAATACAAAAACACTTTGGACTTTTGTGTGATCAAACAGGATCATCCAAACTTTCTATATTTTTCATTATATAAAGGTTTTGCATTCTGTGTGTGTTTTTAAGGAAATACTGTGGATCCCACAAATCAACACTATCAACCTGCAGTGGACTAAGATCTTCTGCTGAGTCATCTCTGCAATTTCTTTCAGTTCTCTCCTGGTCACAGGAGGAAAAGCACCTGCTATTGTGTAAAAGACAGCCTCTACTGACATACTGTGGCGCTCCTGGACGGGGCAGGGCTACAGGAACACGCTGTCCTGAGCAGTAATAATGCAGGAGAGTCTTTTGTAAACTCAACTACATATTTGACACGTACTAATGTCAACTGTCTCTTCAATGTCAGACTATAAATATTGTTGCTAATTTTTCTTGGGTCAGAAAAATGTGTAGCAACTAGTACCGCGTGGGTCAAGAAATGCATCAGTCCCACCTAGCACACCAAGCGCCTGGACTATACAATCACCAAGAAACTCTGGGTACCACAGAACTGTTCATGGCTTCCACGGTCAAATCTCCCAGGAGACGCTACTTTTCTCAAACCAAGGCCAGCAAAGCACATTCAAGGCCCTAAGCATATTCATTTTTGTTAGGAGAAAAAGTCAAATTTTGAGGATGAAAGTTAAATCTTAAATGAATGGGTGGTGTCTTCTTTCGCAGCCCTGTGGAGCTGGCAATGCTGGGACACTCCTCTGGGCCTAGTTGGGCGGTAGGTGAGCCAAATGGCCTGGCTAAAACTTTGGGTTCCATACACCTCTCAAATACAACGGAGAAGCATATTTGCAAAGTGAGTTACACTTAGAATATAAGTTGTGCTGGGGCCCGGCGCAGTGGCCTAGCAGCTGAAGTCCTCACCTTGAACGCGTCGGGATCCCATATGGGCACCGGTTCCAATCCCAGCAGCTCCACTTCCCATCCAGCTCCCTGTTTGTGGCCTGGGAAAGCAGTTGAGGACAGCCCAAAGCCTTGGGACCCTGCACCCATGTGGGAGACCTGGAAGAAATTCCTGGATCCTGGCTTCAGATTGGCATAGCACTGGCTGTTATGCTCACTTGGAGAGTGAATCATCAGATGGAGGATCTGCCTCTCTGTTTCTCCTCCTCTCTGTATATCTGACTTTCAAATAAATAAATAAATCTTAAAAAAAAAAATATAAGCTGTGCTGCAAGTTGTTCGTAAGCATGACATTCCTCAACCAAGTACAGTCTACTCAATTGTGTGTCATGTAGCAAACCTGAAGGGGAGAAGCAATCGGTGTACATGCAGACTCGCTCTGCATGGTCTTATTTCAGATGAATAGTGTAAAAATATGGGCTTTTCATATTTGGAGATATGAGTTCAAAACAAATTTTAAAAGCGACAGTTGTTGTTGCCAGGCTGGTTTGGTTATGGGGTGCAGCCAGTGATAGCCAGCACCCACTGATAGTGGGCAAATGAAATGTGGCTGCGTCCCCTACCCTCTGTCCTGAAGGTGGGTCCTGACAACAAAGGAATAATAATTCCATCCTCAACCACTTCCCCCACGTCGTAATTTAGTCAGGATATTGGATGCAGAGGAGCCCAATTAGTCTAGGTGTTTTTAGCTACAAGCCCAGTTCCTGTTCCTGCCCATCCCAACAGCACTAATCAACTCCTTAGCCCACAAACTTGGGTATTCGCTTCTGCCCACCTGTGACTCACCTATCACCTGAGAGGGGATGGTATTGCGCTGTCGTGTAACCACTTCCCTACTGCCTACTGCACAATGGAAGGCTTCAGGAATTTGTCCTGCCAGAGCAAGGGTCATGCAATCTTCTCTGCCTCCTTCTGCAGTTAGTACCTGTGCTTGTGAGTTCAGCTCGTCTGATGAGCTACAAGTGTATAGTGAAAGTGAATTTAAGACAAGAACCTGTGAACTTTCTCACTTGTCCGGTTTCTCTAGCTCTGCTGCCAGGTGGGCTTAGTATGTGCAACTGTTTATTGTTTTTATTTTTTCATTAAATCTGTAAGTGCTGTATTCCTTACTGGAAGCTCACAAAAAATGAAGCTCACCTCAATGCTCACCTCTTTGTAAGTGTGTTCGTGTTGTTCTCTGCATGTCTCTTAGGATAACTCACATTGTTGGGGGAGCTGGGACATAGGTCTTCAGCTTAACGGATGGACTTGAGCGTAATGAGCATTTGTTCCTTCGGGAATTACGATTCATTGGATTACGATTCGTTGGATTGCCGCACGGACTTGTGATTTGCTATCATGCTGTGTTATCACCAAGCTTGGTTAATAAAGACTCCTTAATAAACCTTAGACGTGTCCGGTGTGCTCTCGCTCGCAGCCTGCAGCAGCAGTTTAAAAGCAGCGCCTGTTTAAGCCTTCTGACTCTGCGTGTGTTTTTGAGTCTCGGGAGGTTTTTTTCAAACGCGAGGGGCGGAGGCCGAGCGGAGCGGCGGGCATCTGCGGTCCCACACTGCCCCCGCGTGGCCAAAGTTTCACCGGGCGAGGACAAGGGTGGTGAGCGGCCGGCCGCAGGGCGCCCGTTTCGGCTGAGGCCGCCCAGGTCCACCCTCCGCGGGGCTCGGGCAGGACCAAGGGCCAGCCGAGAGCCGCGGGGGCCGCGCAGGGAGCCCACCCGGAAGCCCACCAGGGAGCCCACCCGGAAGCCCACCAGGGAGCCCACCCGGAAGCCCGCGGGGCTACCCGGAAGGGGAACGGCGATTGTGAGCTCAGCGGGCGGCCGAGGCCCCGCCCCCGGAGCCATAGCAACAGCGGCGGGCCGTTCCTGCCAGTCGCGGTGCGTCGCTTCCGGGGGCGTGCGTGCGGTGGCTGATGGGGAGTGTGGCCGCGTTTGTGGGCTGCGTCGGCAATGGCGGCCGCTACTGTGGGCGCAGGGCCCGCAGGCGGACGTGGGGGCGCTTTGTTGCGCTGGACTGGGTGGCGGGCCTGGCGGCGCAGTGACGGCGCAGAGGCGGGAGCCGGCCCTGGTGGGCGGGGCCCGGCGGGCGGGGCCTGATGGGCGGGGCTCTGGTGGGCGGGCCCTGGTGGGCGGGCCCTGGTGGGCGAGGCCCTGGTGGGCAGCAGAGGCGGGCCGGCGGGGTCGCGGCGCGCATGCCCAGGAGCGGCGTCCGGTCGCCGAGCGGGCGCGTCACGTCCGCCTTCAAAGGCTTTGGCGCCAAGTTGCTGCTGCTCGGCGTGGTTGGAAGATGCGGGGCCGGGAGCCTTTGGGAAAAGGGGCGAGCTGTCGGGCGGCCACCCCAAGGAGTGCGTGGCCAGGGTGTGGAGGGAGGCCGCTCGTCCTCCTCTGAATGGGGTGCCTTCCCTGTGGCCTCCCTTCCCGAGGACCCCGTGGTGAAGGAGGGTGTGGCCGAAGCGCCTGTTCCCGTGGTGTGTGTGTGTGCGGAAAGCCGGTGCCATCTTCCTTCCCGGGAGCTGGGCATGAGCCCCCATCGTGCTGTGTGTCCCGGGCCCAGTGAGCAGGACTGCGGTGTCCTGAGGAGTCCCTTGGCTTGCAGTGAAGGTGGGAGTGAGGATGAGCCTGTGATGAATGAGCGGCATCGGAGAGGGAGCGAGTGGGTGCGTGTGGTGTGGTGGGTGTGTGTTGTGTGGTGTGTGTGTAGTGTGGTGGGTGTGTGTTGTGTGGTGGGTGCGTGTTGCTTGGTGGGTACGTGTAGTGTGGTGGGTACGTGTAGTGTGGTGGGTGCGTGTGGTGTGGTGGGTGCGTGTGATGTGGGTGCGTGTGGTGCTTGGTGGGTGCGTGTTGCGTGGTGGGTGCGTGTGGTGTGGTGGGTGCGTGTAGTGTGGTGGGTGTGTGTAGTGTGGTGGGTGCGTGTAGTGTGGTGGGTGCGTGTGGTGTAGTGTGGTGGGTGTAGTGGTGGGTGCGTGTAGTGTGGTGGGTGCGTGTGATGTGGGTGCGTGTAGTGTGGCGGGTGCGTGTTGTGTGGCGGGTGCGTGTTGTGTGGTGGGTGCGTGTAGTGTGCTGGGTGCGTGTAGTGTGCTGGGTGCGTGTTGTGTGGTGGGTGAGTGTAGTGTGGTGGGTGCGTGTGATGTGGGTGCGTATTGTGTGGTGGGTGCGTGTGGTGTGGTGGGTGCGTGTGGTGCTTGGTGGGTGCGTGTAGCGTGGTGGGTGCGTGTTGCATGGTGGGTGCATGTTGTGGTAGCGTTGGGATCGCGGGTCGGCCCGGGTCTGGGTGGGAGGGGAGAAGCTGTGGAGCTGTCAGGAGCTGTGGTTGTTTTGTAGGAGTGGGGTGTGCGCGGTGAAGGGAGATGCGGCAGCTAGGCCTGCAGCGGGGAGGGCCATGGCGCCGAGATCCAGGCCTTGAGCCTCCACGCGGCTCGGAAGGTGCTGGAGCAGCTGCTCTGCGCACCCCGGATCTGAGGCCGACGGAGTGGACGCAGCCAGAGTGAGGTGGGGAGGGAGAGGCTTGGGACTGGCTTGGGGGGCTCGCGGGGCTTGGGGGGCCCAGGAAGCGCCTTCTGGAAGCTCATGGCAACATCGACGTGGAGGTCGAGTTGGTTTTGGGGTGACAAGTTGCAGGTGTGTGTGTGATTTTCCTGGCTTTGTTTTCCAGGGAGGCTGTGAAGGCCTGTGCCCGTGGTCTGCAGTGACATGGGGACGCCCGGCAGGGGTTGCGGGGAGACGGCCACTTGTGCTGGAGGCTGGAAGGAGCGCGGAGCGGATCAGATGGGCTCACCTGCGGCCTTGTGCTTCGCTGTGTGAGTTTGTCTTAAAGGACCCTGTGCGTGTGCTTCAGCCCTGGTAGTTCTTCCCGCGTGCGAGAGTGATGTGCGGGGAGAGAAGGCGTGGGTCAGCAGCGGGGAGGCAGGCCCCCAGTGGAAGGCAGAGGCGCCCCGTGTGCGCGCGTGGGGTGTAGACACGCTCCCGGTGCTCAGCGAGATGCCCTGTGTGCCGCAGCGTGGAAGGAGACCCTGCAGGGTGAGGAAGGCCTGAGTGTCCGGGCTGGCTGCAGCGGCCGCCACTTCCTCTGCTGGCTGTGCGGGGCCGTGGGGAGCAGCACGCGGGGTGCGGAGCAGAGGCTGTGTGGCAGCAGTACCGTCCCTTGCAGTAGTTTGTGCCCTACAGTGGTGCGTGCCGAGCCATCCAGGCCTGCGGGGTTTTGGTGCTTGTCCTGAAGCCGGTCCCCACTGGCTCTGCCCCTCCGGAAGGGGCAGGCAGGGGGAGGGTTGTTCTCTGATTTCCCGTTCTGGGAGTGACTCTTCTGGGCGGTCTCTGTGGCTCTGGCACTGAGTGAAGATTGCTCAGTGGGCACCCTGGCTCTGTCTGCAGCGGTCAAGGTGGAGTTTGGCAGGAGCCACAAGGCCAGGTGGATGGTCTGCTGCGTGGAGGCGTGCCTTCCACTTGGCCGTGTGTCTTCAGCAACCCTGGGCGTCCGCAGGCACTCAGGTAATGCATTTCCTGCCTGGGACCTGTGGGTGCCGCCGTCTGCAGGGGTAGCACCCCTGTGCCCGCTCTGAGGCCATGAGGCTGGCAGAGCCTCAGCCTTGTGCGTGGGTGGTGCGGCCAGAACGGCACCTCTGCCAGAGTGAAGTACCCGGGTCTGCTGTTGTGGGCAGCCAGACCCTCCTGGCTGTCCTCTCAGGCTTCCACGCAGGCCTCCTCCCCTCCTGCCTCTTGGCTGGTGTCCTGCCTTGGACATTCCTTGCCCAGGCACCTCCCCAAGTGCGGAAGTCCCGCGGGGGGCTGTGGTGTCTGCCCCGAAACCTGCACCTGCTGCAATCCGGGTGGCAGGGAGCAGCGTGGAGCTGCTCTCCCAGTGGTTGATGCTGTGGGCCTGAGGGTCATCTGTCACTGGGCCCTGTGTCGTTTTATAAAGGATTGATGGACGGATTTGAAAGGCAGAGTTTCAGAGAGAGAGAGAGGCAAGGAAAGGCTGAGGGAGAGGTCTTCCATGTGTGCCTTCACTCCCCAGATGGCTGCCATAGGCCGGCTGACAGTGGGCGCCAGAAGCTTCTGGGTCTCCCACACGGGTCCCAGGGCCCACGCATTTGGGCCATTGTCCACTGTTTTTCCAGGTTCAGCAGCAGCGACCACATAGGAACTGGAGCAGCCGGAGTTCAGACTGGCACCCACGTGGGATGCTGGCCGTGTGGCTGGCGTCTTTACCCACTGTGCCGCTGTGCCAGCGCTGCTTTCTGTGTCAGGACGGTCTGTGGGAGCTCCTGTGGGAGCTGATGTAGAATCTGACAGCTGGCTGCTTGCCTGCCCCTAGCGCTCTGTTCCAGGCCTGGCCCATTCCCGAGTGTGGGGATTGGCCCCAGGCTGTGTCCGTGCCTCACTGTCTCTTGGCCATTCCCCATGATCAGCTCTGTAGCCTCAGACTGTTGACGTACAGTATCAACATAGGGTTGACTTCATAGGGTTGTAGTCATAGAAAGTGAACATAAATTTTGTGTCCTTGGTTTTGAATTGAATAGGGTTGCTTGCCTCTTTTGCAGCTTGTCTGTGTGTGGTTTTTTTTTTTTTTTTTTTTTTTTTTTTTTTATTCTAAAGTCTGATATGCAGAGGAAATACAGAGGGGAAGATCTTCCATCCGATGGTTCACTTCCCAAGTAGCTGCAATGGCTGGAGCTGAGCTGGTCCGAAGCCAGGAGCTCTTCCAGGTCTCCCACGCGGGTGCAGGATCCCAAGGGCTTGGGCCGTCCTTGACTGTCTTCCCAGGCCACAAGCTTGGATCTAGTTGGGAAGCAGGGGTGCTGGGATTGGAAGCGGCATCCATATGGGATCCCAGCACTTCAACGTGAGGATTTTAGTCACTACATTATTGCTCCAGGCTCCATCCTTGACTTGCTGTGCAGCTGTCGGCTCATTTAGGAAGCAGCAGGCTCGCTTCAGTGTGTCAGTGTCTTCCTCATGAGCAGTCTAGTGCTGCCTGTGAGTTAATTATGCGGCAGCTGACTCATAGATGTGTGGAATTCATTTTCGCTTTACTTACAGTGAATCTCGTGTTGGATAATGTTTCCTCTGAAATATGTGTTAATTTATGTGGCAAGCCTGAGCTTCTGCCTTGCAGTGTAAATTTGACTTTTCAAAAATATTTAATTTTTTATTGGAAGGTCAGATGTATAGAGAGAGACGGAGAGACAGAGAGGCAGCTATTTCATCTGCTGATTCACTCCCCACGTGGGCTCAGTGGCTCGAGCTGAGCCAGTCAGAAGCCAGGAGCCAGGAACTACATCCTGGTGTCCCATGTGCGTGTGCAGGGTCCCAAGGCTTTGGGCCGTCCTCGCCTGTTTCTGCCGCCCACAAGCGGGGAGCTGGATGGGAAGCTTTGATGCCAGTTGGAACCAGTGCCGGTATGGGATCCTGGCACGTTCAAGGCGAGGGATTCAGCTGCTCGGCCATTTCGTTGTGCCCTAAATATTGCTTTGATATTGTCCACACCTCGGCAGTGGGAAAGAGCTAACAGTGCTGGTACATCTCTGAAGAGCACATCAGATAATCACACATTTCCCCCACATCTCCCGCCCCCCACAAGACAACACAGAAAGTGTGAAATCAGATCAACGTCCCTGAGGTAATGTGCTGCGGTGCTTCATCAAGGCGTTGTTGTTGGCCGGCCGTGGTGTCTTAAAATTCTTACTTTGAGATGCAGTCCGCATTGCGATGACGTTTGCAGTGTTGATATTTGGGAAGTAACTATGTTGTGAGGGTAACATATTTATGAATCTGATTATTGCCCTTTTAACAAGAGGCCACATAGCTACTTTGCTCACTCTCTCACATTATATTTTACAGGGATATTTCAACAGGTTAATGGAAAATGCATATTGTGGTTTTTCACCATTTTTCCCTTGTGATTGAATTAGAGATTTTTGTATAAAAAATAAACTTACCTCTTGATATCATTTTTTCAGAGAGTTCTTGATGGCTCCTCCTAGAACCAGGGAAGACAGCTGTCTGCAGTCCGGAGCGCGTGTCTTCAGCGAGACCTGCCTCTGCTGCTGTCCCGATGACAGCGTGCCAGTCTCCAGAACTGTGAGAAACAAATTCCTGTTGTTTATCAAGCACTCAGTTTATGATAATTTGCCATACAAGCCTAAGCCAAGAGGCCTCAAATGCAGTGACAGGTTATTCGCCATTGCTGCCTAAAGCAGGTTCTGCAAAGAGGAACAGATCTCTAACCTTTGCAGGCTGCCCAGTCCCCCGCCTGGCCAGTTTGCTGTACCCCGTGTTCTGGGCATAGAAGTGAAGAGGCTATCTCAGAATTCCAAGTCCCGTGGTTTTTGAGATCCGAACCCTCACTAGAATATTCTCCATGGAAATCCAGGATTACTCTGTGCTGGTTAGCACCCAGCTGTGGTCAGCCTGGGCAGAGGCCTGGCGCGCATGTGGGATTACTGAAATGAAAGCTCCAGGGCCTCCCTGGCAGGCCTTGCATACTGCGGCAGGTAGCGCCCCTGGCTGTGTGCGTTCACAGCAAGCACGTAGCCCACTGTGCTACACAGAATCTGCTTCTGGTCCGAGGACTCCCTAAGCGGCTAGAAGGAGGGTCATCCTGTGTTCCAGTGCTAAATCCCATGCCGCCACAAAGATTCAGGCTGTCCTCCTGTGTGTGATTTGACAAGAATTTTATTCAGCACTAATAACAAAGTGTTGCATTTTGCTCATTACATGTTACTTGGTGGAATTATCGGTATTTGAGATGTGGAAATTCAGCCCACCAGGTAAACATGAGAATTTACAACAGTAGAATTTGAGAGAGATTACTGCAAATGTAATTTCTCTCTATATGCTATCTAATAGCTTAGGACTTTCAAGTCAGTCATCTCAAGTCTGGCGTATGGAATCTTCAAAGACGGTCTTTTTTTAAATTTATTTTTATTGGAAAGTCAGATATACAGAGAGGAGGAGAGAGAGAGAGGAAGATCTTCCGTCCGATGAGTCACTCCCCAAGTGAGCGCAATGGCCGGTGCTGCGCCTATCCGAAGCCGGGATCCAGGAAATTCTTACCGGTCTCCCACGCAGGTGCAGGGTCCCGAGGCTTTGGGCCGTCCTCGACTGCTTTCCCAGGCCACAGGCAGGGAGCTGGATGGGAAGCAGGGCTGCTGGGGCACGAACCAGTGCCCATATGGGATCCCGGCGTGTTTAAGGTGAAGATTTTAGCTGCTAGGCTACTGCTCTGGGCCCAGAGAGGCAGTCTTATGAGCACTCCGACAACACTCCAGGTTCCAGATGTTCAGTTGTAATCTGTAACTCCTGGATGGTGGGGCCATGCTTACGTAGGAAAACAGGAGCGTGAGGAAAAGCTTTACAACTGCAGACCTCACTTGTGCTGAGCATCGTCAAAGACTTCCGGAACCTGTGTTACAGACCCTTTCTGCCATCTGTTCTGGCCTTGTGGTTGTTGAACTCAAATTACAGCCATGTCTTCTGTTATTCAGTACACATCATCAAGCCGATGAAACAGTCCTCAAAGTAGGAAATATAAAGGAAAGGGTATCATTTAAGTGCACAGTCTGACCAAGGGGAGTAGTGAGACAGGCTTTAGCCTTGGGGTCCAGGAGCTCCCCAGAGTCTGTTGCTGCCGTTTCCCCTTCATGATGCTCTTCCCGTGTCAAGGGGATCAGTGACTGAAGAAAACAGAGGCTGGATAGAAGGAGTGTGACAGTGCAGCTGGATATCATGACAAATGAATGTTTATTTAGCGCCTTTTTTTTTAAATTTTTGTTTATTCTTATTGCAAAGTCAGATATACAGAGAGAAGGAGGGACAGAGAAGATCTTCCGTCCATTGATTTACCCCACCCCCCATGTGCTGCACCAGTCAGGAGCGAGGAGCTCTTCCGGGTCTCCCACATGAGTTCAGGATCCCAAGGCTTTGGGCCATCCTTGACTGCTTTCCCAGGCCACAAGCAGGGAGCTGGATGGGAAGTGGGGCAGCCAGGATTAGAACCAGCGCCCATATGGGATCCCGACGCGTTCAAGGTGAGGACTTTAGCTGCTAGGCCACGGCGCTGGGCCCTATTTAGCACTTTGTACTAGGCACGAATCTAAGTACTTTCATATATCAATGGATTGTATCCTCAGAACAATTCTACGAGAAAGTTACATCTGCGTATTGTCCCCAGGTTACACAGGAGGGAGAGATTAAATATCTGGCCCCAGGTTGCTCAGCCATTGAGTAGACTTCCAAAGTCTTAATTGTCTATTAAATATCTTCTCTCAGGATGAGGATCATTTTCTAGGGCAGTCGGAATATGAAAATATGTTGCAAAAATAACTGGTGCAATCTGAGCAATACGTACACTCAAAGCTGCCTCTGGCTTGTATGCCAAGATTACCTTTTCTTTTCTTTTTTTTTTTTTTTATAGTGACACCTGTATCATGATAAACTGTGAAGGCTTTTTTTTTTTTTAAGATTTATTTTTATTATTTTTTCATTGGAAAGGCGGATATACAGAGAGGAGAGACAGAGAGGAAGATCTTCCGTCCGATGATTCACTCCCCAAGTGAGCGCAATGGCCGATGCTATGCCGGTCCGAAGCCAGGAGCCTCTTCCGGGTCTCCCACGCGGGTGCAGGGTCCCAAAGCTTTGGGCCGTCCTCAACTGCTTTCCCAGGCCACAGGCAGGGAGCTGGAAGGGAAGCGGGGCTGCCGGGATTAGAACCGGCGCCCATATGGGCTCCCGGGCGTGCAAGGCGAGGACCTTTAACCACTTGCGCCACCGCGCCGGGCCCAAGATTGCTTTTTCAAATGTTTTGCCACTGTTGTCCCTGTCTGTGGGTTCCAACCGGTGTCTGCAGCTTGCTCTGCACTCTGGACAGTTCCTCCAAGACGAATGTTAGCTTGCTGACGTTTTGTTGCCTTTATTCTGTTCAGTAGCTGAAGAATATCCACTGTATGGCTGTGCATCAATTTAACACAGTTATTCGTTTTTTGCCTTTTATTCGTTGCTGCTTTTTTTTTTTTTTTAATGTGCATTAACAATATTTCAATGAGGATGCTTTGGATGAATCCCCAGTAATGGAGGTGCAGGGTGGGAAAGTATCCGTAGACAGTGTATGATGGTAGCAGATTCTCTTTCAACTCACACAGAGATGTAAGACTCCCTCTCACATCCCTTTCACAGCTGAATATCACGTGGGAAACTCTCGGTTGATGATAAGGATAAAAGAGGAAGTCTGAGCTCAGCTTTAATTTGTTTTCTGAAAAATCAGCACTTGTTCATGTTTCTTGAGGGTTTTGAATTTATGAATAGACTGTTTATATCCTGTACCTTTTTTTTTCGACGATTAATTTTCTTTTTTTTTTTTTTTTTTTTTTTAAGATTTATTTTTATTATTTTTTTTATTGGAAAGGCGGATATACAGAGAGAAGCAGAAACAGAGAGGAAGATCTTCCGGCCGATGATTCACTCCCCAAGTGAGCGCAACGGGCCGATACTATGCCGATCCGAAGCCAGGAGCCTCTTTCGGGTCTCCCACGCGGGTGCAGGTTCCCAAAGCTTTGGGCCGTCCTCGACTGCTTTCCCAGGCCACAGGCAGGGAGCTGGAAGGGAAGCAGGGCTGCCGGGATTAGAACCGGCGCCCATATGGGATCCCGGGCGTGCAAGGTGAGGACCTTTAACCACTTGCGCCACCGCGCCGGGCCCGACGATTAATTTTCTAAGAATTTTTTATCTTGCACATTACCTCCATATCTGTTAAAAACTTTGTAAATATTTTTTTAACTAGTTATTTGCTTGCTGCCTTTTTTTTTTTTTAAGATTTATCCACTTTCATTACAAAGTCAGATATACAGAGAGGAGGAGAGACAGAGAGGAAGATCTTCCGTCCGATGATTCACTCCCCAAGTGAGCACAAGAGCCGGTGCTGTGCCAATCCAAAGCCAGGAGCCTGGAACTTCCTCCGGGTCTCCCACGCGGGTGCAGGGTCCCAAAGCTTTGGGCCGTCCTCAACTGCTTTCCCAGGCCACAAGCAGGGAGCTGGAAGGGAAGTGGAGCTGCCGGGATTAGAACCGGCACCCATATGGGATCCCGGGGCATTCAAGGCAAGGACACCAGCCGCTAGGCCACGCCACCGGGCCCTGCTTGCTGACTTTTAAAAACATTTGCTTGAGGGAAGAATAGACCGATATTTGATCTACTGGTTCACTTGCCCTGTGGTCACAATGGCTGGGACTGGGGCCAGGCCATAACCAGGAGCCGGGAGCTTCATCTGGGTCTCTCATGGGCTTAGGGACCCATACACCTGATCCGTCATCTGTTGCTTTTCCCAGGCTGTTAGCAAGGAGCTGGAGTGAAAGTGGAGCAGCTAGGACTCAAATCATCCCTCATGTGGGACGCCAGCGTTGCAGGTGGCAGCGTTACCCATGACGCCACAGTGCTCGTCTGCCTTTTGGATTTATTAGATACCTTGACTTGTGCCATCATTTTTAGCCCATAGGTTAGGTATAATTTTCCCCATTTTTTTTTTTTTAATCTAAAGGCAAATTTCCAATTTGGAGATATTTATAGATGGATAAAATTGAATAAGCACATATGTATCCTTTTCTTTGTCCCTTTTTCTTTTTTTGTTTTACTTTCACACAGGCAACTACTTTATTGAAGAATTTTAGTTTTTTAATATCCTTTTTTTTTTATCACTTATAAATGATCACCCAAACATTTCAAAGTAAATACATACCAGAAAATACCCTTGAAAACACAGTTGTTTTGAATCATGAGAATTTAAGTAAGACAATATACAGAACGCCAGGGATTACCTAACTGAAATGCAAAATGTGTATTACCTTAGTCAGTCACCAAAAGGGAAATATAACCTTAAACACAGGAATTAGTGCATAAAATCATCTCATAACTTTTTTAAGAACTTTAACAAATTCAAAAATTGGAATAAGAATAGAGCTTACTGAAGCTGGATAGACAATTGACAAATTTACCAATTAAACAGACTACCTAAAGTTCAATGCTTCAATTTTTTAACAGTTTGCAAAATTGGAAATATTTTTATTTTTAGATGTTTACTAGTATTTTTATGTATGTACACTTCAAAAAAATTATTTGAACACATATCAATTCTAACGTCAGCATGTATTAGGTGTTAATGTTAAAGACTTAAACAATGTTGTAATAGTATCTTTAAAATTATAACCAATTATATGCAAATCTTACAAGATTTATTCCTCAACTTTTCTTAAGACATTTTCTGAATAAAAGCATAACAACTTTTAAATACAATGGCTTTTTTTTTAAATTTATTTTTTTAATAATATTTGTCAATCTTTACATAGTTAATTTGGGCCAAAAGGGTCTAGGGCTACAGGAAAGTGGGTAAGACTATCATTTCCATATTGTTTCCTTCATATATCTGAGGTAGAGGGGGATATTGAGGGAGAAGCCCCACCCAGTTTCCCACCCACCCCAAGTCCCGCATGTGGGGCATGCTCCGAGATACTCGTTCAAGTGGTTTCAATAGGTCACCAGTTTTGAAATTGCTGCCAATCTTGCCTCTCCAAACACGATGAGGTTGTTGAAAAATCCATTAATTGACATTGTCCATCATAGCGTCTCTATTTGCCCGGTATTTTGTTGCCAATCTATAGCTGAGGTGGTTGATTAACTTGTTCCATCTTCTGTCCCTTCTTGGTTTGGGTTCTGAGTCTGGCATTTCAATTGGGGAGGTCACCAAAGAAACTTCGTCTGAGGTGTTCCCAGGCCAGATACTCGTATGCACCAGCAAGCGCAGGGCCCAGCACAGTCCATCACCCGGTCAGCTGGTAGTTGCAATTGCTGGGTTGGTTCTGTTTTCAGCCCCGCCTTCTACTGGAACCAATGGGTGTTGCAGTCCAGCCTGGTTCTGCACAGCACATACTCGGTCTTCACCGAAACCA